GTTGGTCATTCGGAATCCTACTTCATCTTGTTTTTTTAAATTTTTTTATGTTCTTGTTTGTGTTGATTTTTTTATAATATTTCGTATTTTCGTTGGTCGTTTGGAATCCTACTTCATCTTGTTTTTTTTAATTTTTTATGTTCTTGTTTGTGTTGATTTTTTAATAATATTTCGTATTTTCGTTGGCCGTTTGGAATCCTACTTCATTTTGTTTTTTTTATTTTTTATGTTCTTGTTTGTGTTGATTTTTAAAATAATATTTATAGTATTTCTTTAGTTGCAATTGTGATACTTGTTGATTTTACACAAACAATAATTTTCTTTACAACATTTATGAGAGGCAGTATTGAATAGACATGCTGAAGGAATATAAACTATACTGATGACAAGTGAAACTAATACTAGTCTTGACACAAGTCCTTGTTCAAGAATCTGTGAGCTAAGAGTGTCCATCTTCCCTGCTATTCCTGTTCTTCCAGGCTGTTGTCAAGTTCACTGATAATTATCATTGCATATCATAAGTCATAACATTAATTAATTGTTTGTTTTTTTTTAATAAAATAAAATAAAACACTTGATAAAACAGTAACATGTAAAATCAATACCTTCTTTTAGCTGGAAACCTCCACTAAAGTATTGCAGTAAGTTGATAACTTGCTTCTTCCAGAGCTGCAGATCTGAGCATGCGCGACCACACCCAAATTTTAGAGCACATGGCAAGCTTCTTTAATTAACAAAATGGCGGCATGTAGCTAAGATGGCTCGATCCAGCAGTCACAGTATCACTTTTTCCTTACTTGAAGAATGATCTGATGGGACATGGACCTGCGCATAGACTGTTGGAGTAGATTGGTGTAAGAATTATTCTTGTAGCACCAACTGATACTGAGATACACACCGACAACTGGATTGACAGGACTTGATGATGATGATGAAGATGAAAAAAGGTGGCTGAACAAAACGGCCGGTTCGCCGATTTTTGACTTTTCGCTTAGAAAAGGTCTAGAGCCACGCTAGTTGTACCATTGGAGTCCTCTGGTCAAGATAAGGTCCTCTATAAAGTCTGGTAAGCATAGGAGCTCGTTTTCCCAGTATAGCAAGGCTGCAAAAGTCATGGCAGCCATTTTGTTTGGGGGTGAATCCTACTTAGTAACGCTACCGCGTTACTAATAGTACAGGGGGGTTTGGCCAAATTTCGCGAAAAATGACTAGGTGAGAATTCTCCATTTTTATAATTTTTTTCTGATACATATACATGTTTTTATGTTGCGTAGAAAGTTTTAGCTGGTTCCGATCAAAATTAGATTTTTTATGAATTTTTTTAAGTTGCTCAAAAATTGGGTCAAAGACCCTATACTATAGTACATGTATATAGCAACTTTCGTCTTTCATTTTTGCAAACCTATTTCTCTTTATAATTATTTTGTTTCTTCATTAGATAATATCAGATGCTGTGACATTCATGGTTGGTGGTTTACACACGTCTGGTTATCTCTTGGTTTGGGCTACATACTACATGAGTCAGCACCTTGAGGTACTCAACAGTGTTGTGGCTGAGATGAGAAAGGAGGTCGGGAATGACAGGAGTGAAAAGCTTTATGAATATGCTTATTCTACAACATCGTAAGTCACTTACCAGAGACATCTTATAACACACACACACATGTTAACATGATAACATGTTATAGATAATGTGTTAACTTTTACAAATTTTTATGTTATTTTATTGAATTACTACATTAAATTTTTGTACAATTACATCGGTAATTTTATTACAAATTGTAAAAATATTTTATTATTTTATTTTTATATTTTATAAAGAAATATTTTATTTCTGTTATTCTAGGTATTTAAGGAAAGTCCTTGATGAGACACTAAGGCTGTCTACATTGGCACCGTATGCTGCACGCTATTCTGAAGAGGATATAACTGTTGGGGAATACTCTATTCCTGCTGGTACTCCCATCATTGATGCATTGGGAGTCTCATTAAAGAATGAATGTTTATGGAAGAATGTCCACAAGTAATTATTAATTATTGGGGAATTATTGATAAGGGATTTTTTATTAGAATTATGCCTATACACTTAGTTTGTTTCCATTATACTAATAATTCTATTTAATTCTTGGCTGATTAGTGATTACATAAAGTCCTAGTTTTTATTTTTGCCTTAAGTTTGTGCCAAATAGTTTTCCCAAAAGAAATACCTCCTATCACAATTGATGTGTATTATATGTAACGCTGACGTATTCATTATGCATTCTTCTATTTCAGGTTTGATCCAGAACATTTTGGATCCTGTGCCCTCCAAAGCAAAGATTCTATGGCCTTTTCACCATTTGGTATGGGTAGACGCAAGTGTCCTGGCTACCAGTTCTCTTATGTTGAAGTCTCAATATTCCTCACTCTTCTACTCCAGAGGTTCAACCTGAAGCCAGTGAGTGATAAAGGAGTTGGTATGGTCCACGGATTGGTCACTAGCCCCAGTGAGCCACTCTATTACACTGTACATCCAATAGCCTCTGATGAATCAACCACTGAGGAATGACTGAGTCAAGTGTGAACGTGCTATTAATGTTTAATCCTGTCTCTGTGTGCTTATATAGTATTTCCACTTTGATTTTGTGCTAGCTATCATTATTATTATGTGTATTAATAATTATGCTCATTTTGCTGATTTAACTGTTTACTTCTATCATAATAATTATATTAATAATAATAATAACAATAATTTCACATGTAGTAGAACACAGCTAATAATTATATTACATTCATTAATTGCTAGTTTGGTCTATAGGCTCATCGTTTGATGATTCTTCTGAATCTGTTCTCCTCCATCTTTTGTTTGAATATGTCGAGTGATTGCTTGATCCATTACTTAGTCTCTTTGTTGGCTTCTATAGTACCTAGTTAAAATCTCTATTAACAATAAGAGTTTTGTGATACCTTTGTTAGACCATGTTTTCTCTCCATTTCAGATCTAAGGACACTTAGCTTGTCCATTACTATGACTAATAGGTTAATAAACATAATTTACATTATTTTAATCACAAATAATTATGCTAAAGCCACATAAAATATAGAAGAGTCGAAAGTAAAAAATATCACTTCTCTTTAAATGTGTGTTCAATTATGTCCACTGTACTTATACAATCCTAATCCTTTGGTAGTTTTCTTTTACGTTATTGCTTTTATGCATTCAATCAATCATTTATTAGTAATAAACAACTTATTCAATGTATAATTGACACCAATGTCACAATTTTTAGATTTACTTTGGCCTGGTAGTGTGTCTGAATCACTGTCTTTTAATGAAACCCATTTCTTAGCCTCCACGTACTACATTTAAAGTATAATACAAAATTAAAGCAGTCAAATTACTTACCTTGTAGCTGTCTTGGCTATAATGAGAGAAATTGGCACGATTTCTACAAGGAAGATCATTGAGAAAATCCATCTTTGTTTGGACGCAATTATAACCACGCCTTTTAAGGGCGTGGTCTTATTAGCCACACCTCTAGATCTTTTGCAGTGCATTGCAGTACAGTGCAGCAGTGGTTTATTAATTTAGATCTATTATCATTTAGTCTTGTGCCATTAGCTGGGTTTAAGGTGATCAAGTTTCATTTTACAAAGTAAAAATTTAATTACAAAATACAAGTCATGTTTAATACTAATCTTTAAGACTTATATCATCACTTGGATGAACAAATTCTTTTCCACTGAGATCGTTGCATTCACAATTCAGTATCTCAGAATTATCAACCTTTAGTATAGATCTAAAATAGCACTAATATTTAAAATGCAATACCTTCAGTAGTGGAGTGTATTGAGGACAGTGATGAGGCAATATTGGGTCATTTGATGCTCTGTTGTAAGCTATGAGGAAAGCCCATCTCCTCCTGTCACTGTTATTCTGGTCTGACTTATGAAGTAGATTACAATGAAAGAATAATGCATCACCAGCCTCTAACTCTACTTCAACCAATGGTAATCTCTATTATTAAAAAGTATAGACACATTTAAAAGTAATAATTATTATACTTACAGTCTTTAACATCTCAACTCTCTCCAAATCAGCTCCAATTTGACCAGCTACTTTTGTGTGATCAATTCTACCAGCTTTATGAGATCCTTTGAGCACCTAATTTACAGAAAAATTTACTCAAATATATTCAAGCATAAATTTGCACTACTTTGAGGCAACCGTTTCCAACATCAGCTTTATCGATAGCAATAAAAACTGTTCCCATGTCTGGAAAAAGACACGTGTTGCTGTACCAGTATCTTTTGAATGAATGTGAATAAATAATTATAATAGATTCACAGCTTACCCATAGTCCTGGTGCCATACAAATTGACCACCAGTACGTGCTTCCTTCATCATTAGTTTAGTATGATAGTGATACACTTCACCACCTAATAGCTAATGAATAAGAATTGCAGTCATTATAGATATCTGACCCTATGCTTTTGCCATACCTTTTCCATTGTACCTGCTACTTTCTCAGATCTAGCAATCATTCCACTAATATCCTTACCAGGGTGCTTCCACAAGGCCATTCTGCTTACCCTTCCACTCCCATCAGCTCTAGCATAAGAGTGCTTCAATAGTTCACTGTCACTCTCAAGACTAGCTTGCAACTTCCTCAGCTCAGCTTCACTTAATAAAGACCTGAAGTAAAAAGGCTAACGTGTCTAGATGTACAGATGCTTGTTTTTTACTTGACTATGACATATCCTTGCTCCTCAAAGGACTCTTGGACTTGAGATGTCACTTCAAACTTATTGTCACTACAAGAAAACATGTTCATTCAACAATAGGTGTTAATAAGAAAATGGGTGTGGCTGGATAAGACATACTGATTGCGCAATGCTGAGTTACCAGGAGGCTGTGAATTTTGCTTCTGATGTGTTAAAGGTTTCTGTGCATCAAAAAGAGAGCTCCTTGAGTCTTTTAAATGAACTCATTTTTGCTTTCTATGAAAATGTTCCGTTTCAAAGTGTGACTTTACAGGCCATACCACTGGAGAAAAGGAGACAACCAACTTTAGAAGAGGCAAAAACCAGTGGCGGAGCTGAACCCGGGCCCACCCGGGCCTAGGCCCGGGCATCAAAGCTCTGTAATGAGATTCATTAGATGCAATGTAAACAATTCCTTCCCTAAAGTTTAGATAAAGCCAACCACAAGCCTCACTAGAGTACTAACAGGGTATACAGGTGCATATAAGTAATTAGCAAGCACTTTTCAAGTAAAATACCCAAAGAAAAAGTTAGAAAGTGGACACACCCACATCCGGGCCCGGGCATCAGTTTAGTTCCAGCTCCGCCACTGGCAAAAACTGAGGTACTTTCAGGACGTGGGGGTCTCTGCTACACAGTTAACACTTTTATGAAATATTTCACAGAGGCACTGGGATTTAATGTGCGCCACATTTGCAGCTCAATCAAAACAAACAACGATCACATTATGACGATAGCAGAAATCGACAATGAGAAATATCTGATTGACGTTGGAAGCGGCTACCCAACATTTGAAGCAATTCCGATTAATTTTGAAAAAGAATCAAAAGTATACCAGCATTCCTTCCTCGAGTATAAATTTGCAAAAGAAGAGAAGGATGAGTCTTTAATGATCATTCGTCTACATAAGAAAGGTGACTTTAGACCAGGCAGTGATGCAGCAACAACTAGTGCCAGCTGGAGAGTTGCATGTATCATTGATCCTATGCCTCGTGATCTCTCATTCTTTGATTCCTCCATGTCACTGATCTATTCTTCTTCTGATCATTTAGTTTTTCATACTAGCTTACGAATCATTCTATTTCCAAATGGTGGGCAAGCACTTGTGCTTCGTGACAAGTTACTCTACAAAGAAGACAGCAATACTCACGAGCTGGTCATTAAAAAAGAATTTGATAACTTTTCTGATATTATTGAAGAAATCAAAACATTGTTTCCATTACTTTATGATGAAGCAAAAAAGATTGTTAACTAAAATTTTAGTTATTCTTTAAATTTCTACTTTACAACAAGAAATGATTACAAATCAATAAACTCTAAATGAGATATTTTAGTTTTCATTATACACTGAACAATAAATTGAAATACATGACACCACAAATACCTTTCAGTAGCAATCAAGCTAAATCAATGCAAACACAGACAATAATACAATTATAAATAGGACTAGCAAAGATGTAGATTCTTTTGCCACGCCACTGTTCATTGTTGTTGTGCTAAGCACCACCTCATCATGTACTTGGAGATCATCATTCCTGATATACTGTAGAGTTAGTGTAGTTGAGTTAGCTTGGAGCCTTGTGTATCCATAATGCTACAAGTTATAAGATAATAGTAATAAAGGCCTTGTACTTATAGTACACAAATTTCATTTAAAATGACTAGCAGAGAATTTTCCATTTTATACTTTTTTCTGATGCATATACATGTACTTATGTTGTGTAGCAAGTTTGAGCTGGTTCTGATCAACATTGAATTAAAAAAAAGATTTTTAAAGTTACTCAAAATTAGGCTACATGTACATATAAGGGACCTTACCTGATCATCAAGATATTCAAAATAGCTTGGGCGATTTGGTCTAATAAGAGAAAACAATTTAGAACCAGATCATTTTAGTAATGCAAACTTACTCAAAGTCTTGCAGTAGTGGGCGTCCTGCCATCCCAATGATAACATGTGTAATACCATTATCAGTGCATTGGCTACGGTATACTTTACATGTCCTCTGGTAAGTATGGTGGTGTCCCCATAGAGCCAGACTTACATTGTATTGCTAAATGATGCAATAGAAGATAATATCAATAAAAAATAATAAAACCAATTTTAGGAAATACCTTAGCTTGTGGTTATATAATAAGTATAATTTTACAGACACTTAACTCAAGAATTTGTAAAATTGCATTAAGCTTTTTATAAAACACAAGCTAGGGCACTAGTGTGTACAAAAATGTAAAAGGTGGCTTTGAAACTAAGAATTTTTAGCTTAGAAAATGTAAAATATAAAGATTACTTACTATAAGCAAATCCTCCAAGTTATTTCTCAACAGTTTGGCTATTGGTTGCATTCCGTATGGTTCTTCAATGCTGGTACTATCAACATACATTGGCCTAAAATAGAACAACTGATTAATTTGTCGTGTGCATGTCAGCAATTACTAAATGACAAAAATTATGTTGTCAACATGTTGATTAGCATAAATAAAATATAAAATGATTATGTATATTTTTATAGTGTAAGTATTGTAATGCATTTATGACCTGTGTCCAGTGAATACCAGCCATGGTGTGGCTGTACGGTTCACACTAGCAAGATGCTGAACCAGAAACCTGTACTGTTCAGTCCCCATTGTGAAATTATCCTCTGAGTTCATTATGACAAAATGAACACAGCCAAAATCAAACCCGTACCTGAAATGAAAATTAATAATAAGGTATAAACAGACATAGACTGAAATCATTCTAAAGAGGATTTAAAAGAATGGTAGCCTGACCAAAAACTACATGCATATAATGACTGTATTTTAGTGCATGGAACTTGAGTCAGACAAAATTAAAAAAATTAATTCACCATGGTTTGACAGGTGAGACTCTTGGCATTTGATTCCTGTATATGTATGGTATATTACACTCTCCACCTGAGTCTTTGCTTTGAAAATATGACCTACAATACATAAATTAAATAATAATAGTAATGTGTTTATTTATAAAGTTAAATATCAGTCATACGTAGTGTTAGGCCAGTCTGCTTCGTGATTACCAGCACACACCATATAAGGAGAATTCGCAGCTAGCTTCTCAACCTCATTGTAATATTCATCCCACTATTAATAATGATAATAGTCATAACAATGTTACATTGTGTACTAATAGTGCAGTATATAGTGATATCATATTACGTGAGATACACACCTGCAGTTGTTTCTATCAACCAATAAACAAGATGACAACATTCATGAGGCTTAAATTAATATTAATTTTAAGTAACCACCAAACCCCATAAATGTTAACTTGTAACACAAGGAATTCCCTTATGGATTATGCCAAAGGTTGTAATAACAATTGATTATACAACAGAGCAGTTCTAGCCCTCAATGTATGTACATGTACAATCAATGGTCAATAAGCTCTAATAAGCTAGGTCTTACCTGTGCACTGAATCCAACAGCATAGCTCAGATCTCCAATGTGTACAATCAGTTCAGTTTCATTAATTTCACTGTACACGTTCTTAGTGGTATTGAGGGATGCTTGCTCAAGCTTCTTGATCTGCAATGTATTATCAGGAACCCCATGGCCTAAATCTATGCATAGAAAGCAATGGATTATTTCGGGTTGATAATAACAGCATTGGGTCAAAGACAGTTAATCTAGTCCATAGTACATAATTGCATTGTCATTGTTCATGAACAGATACTATATGTTTGCTACATGCTGACCTAGTTTTCTAGTGAATAGCGGGTACATTATAATATTATGACTCAGCAGCACAGTGCAATTACTATGGCATGTTAATAGTAATACATGTTCTTACTATGCCAATAGTAGGTTATCATAAACATGTACTCCTTTACATGTACATGGACACAGTGGGTAACGTGTCAGCAAAACTATGCAAACAACAGGTGCTCTTGTACCTAGCTTACCTCCATAAGTGATTATTCTAACAGGAGTATCAGGGCCAGTGACAGGAGGGGACTTGAAGGTGAACTCATCACTCCAGCCCCAGGTGTTTGATCCAAACTGATAATAATAACGAGTAGATGGACTTAAACTATTAAATAGTAACAAAACAATAATTGAGTGAATGCTTAACTTTAATACAGATTAACTAATCAAGACACATAATAAAGATCCACTTTAAAATATGAATATTGATTCAAGTCACATGCTTAGCATGTGCATGATAAACAAACTATGATTAGATCAAGTGACAAACCAGCCTTATATTGACATACTCATGAGTGCTCTTAATTTATCAGACATAATGTCAAACTTACTTGTCCATTGTAACAGTATGAATGGTTCCTGGGTCCATCCAACCATAATCGTTAGCAGGAGATCCACACATGTCATTGACAGTGTATTTGCTGTTGTTAGCCTGTGTTTATTTATACATAATCTCTCTCTCTCTCTCTTCCTTCCCCCTCTCTTCTCTTTTTCTTATTTCTCACTTGTTTTGTATATTGATAGTTCCTACTCTCTGTTCCCCAGCGTACTAATGGATCAGTTGTATTCTTAGTGACCCATTGCAATCTATATAGCAAGATAGTCATAATTATGATAGTATAATTATTATAATCTTCAAATGACATACACAATCTTGTCTATTTCTAAAGTGAGTGCCAAGTGTCCTTGTAAAGGTTGATTAGGATTGAGATTGACTATTCTTTCAGAAGTAGACATAAGAACAGGTGAATCTAGACCTATTAAAAGTTAAACTATAATGAAGAGGCTATTTGCACATATGTTTTGCTAAAAATGAATTTATGAGTATAATAGTACACAGAAGCAGGACACTGATAAGGATTAGCTCTGTTAATCTTACGACAATAATAATCATATACCTTGCAAACAGCAGATCACATGACAAACTTACCTCCAGTGAAGAACCCAAACATGTAATCGTGTCTCATGTTGATAGCGTAAAAATCCAACTGTGCATTCCCACTTGTTAGGTACCCAGTATCTACATTAAGGTACTGGAACTTAACAGGGGCATGGCTCGTTGCATTAATTTCAGTCTCGTTGTCTGCTAGAGTGAAGAGACCAATCCAATTGTCTTCATTGGGGCTAGACACACCCGAAACTTGTACATTAAACCACTGGTAGGAACTGTTTATTGTAGCAGGTTGCACCACTGTGCTCACAGTAGAACCTGATTATGAGAGAATCAAAATTATCATCAAGGATGGTGGAGGTTTATGCATCTAGCTACTTACTGGGTTGCCTCCTCACTCTACTATGATTGATCTTTGAGAGTGGACTAATGAAAACATGAGCTTCTAATAGCAAGAGACTGTTACAAAAGAAGAGGAGGACGAATCGTATGAAGACCATACTGCAATGCTTAGCTGTCCAGTTGAAAAATGAAAATTGAAAATTCGGTGGTGGGGTCCGGGCGTGGCTTTAATTTGTGCTACACTGCGCGGCCGGTGGGCTTTATGGAGGATCGTTGGGACGATGTTGTCTTTCTCTTGAGGCGTATTAACGATTTTAATTCTCAGATAGCTCCCTACAATAAAAAAGCTATATCTTATCTTCTTCGAAAACAAAAGGATGTTAATTTGGCGCAAGTGTTTAACGTGGCTAAGGAGAAGTATGGTTGTGACACGAACCAAGAACGTTTCAGTTTTGTTGTGATGGTCATGAAGCTCTCCGGCTGCATTACACAAGCAAAGGAGCTCGTAAAAGGCATAGACCCTTCTTTGGTAAAAAGAGATGGATTTGAATTATTAAATAAATGTCTGGCGAATGACGATGATCATGACCGTAAAGAAGCCTTGATCTCCATGAGAGCTATTCTTATAGCTCTTGACATCAAGTTACGTGAAAGCGGGCTTGTAGAAACATTCCTCGAAAACATCGGTATGCTGGTTCCTTTTTCTGTTGAGGCCTGCTCTGATACCAGCTTCCCCCTTTATAAATATTTAGAGGACAGTGCCACAATTGAGCCTAACAAGCTTAAAACCATTAGGAGCGTTCTCAGTATGGATCCCCAGTTACAAACTGCACTGGGAGACTTTGGTGAGTTTAAGTGAGAGGCTACGTATAATCTATTAAAGTTTATGAATTTTGTGCCAGCTTCAGAAAATATAAACCTTTCTCAGTTTCCCACCACATCCATAGCGTATCTAGCAATGAATATCATTAACAAACATAGATGTACACGTAGATACTGTATAGCAGGTTTTTTTCGAGGATAATAAATTTCGCGAATGATCCGTATCTGGAAGTTTGCAGAATTAATTTTCACGAATTTCCACTAATTTGCCATCTTGTACTGTATTAAAATGATTTTCAAGGAATTTAATTTCGCGAATCATGAAAAAATCCACAAAATTCGCGAAATTTGCTATCCTTGAAAATTTCCCGCTATACGGTATAGATCTAGCAACTGCATTGAAATATACCTGGTGCTTTACTCTATTTCCACAGTATATTTAACAATTATTTTTTTACAGAAGCTTCATTAGAAAAATTAAAGCCAAAAGTCATCCTTCAGGAAGAAAGTAAGTCTCTCATTACAAATTTCCGATAATTTATATTTTTAGTTTTGGCTACTATCCCTCCAAGTGATCCAAAGGAAAGGTTTAGCCATTCAGTGGGCAATGAAGAAGCTCACCCACCAGGGCCACCACCTGCTTATAGCCCACATGATGAGCTCTGTGTTGGTACTACATCTAGTAGTGCAACTTCTTCAGTCACTGATACACGCTCAAGGGCGACCTCTGATACTTCATCCTTTCGTCATCTTAGGGCTCCTCATTTATCAAACACACAGCGACAAATGACTTATCCTCCTATTGCTAATGTTAGTACTCAATTTCATATTACATCATTTTGTTAATAATTATTTTAGGAATCTCCACCCCTCCCCTTTCCTACTACAGCTCAAGCTAATTCAATTGAACCAAATGATGCAACTGGAACACAAACAGAACTTTCAAATACTGGAAATTCTGTTCCTGGTGATAATTAACTGTGACAGTACTATTTTTGCTTCACTATTATGCTTCACATGTAGATCAACTCAATTTTATTATACAGCAATAGTATTATCACTAACAATAGTATTATCACTAACAATAGTATTATCACTAACAATAGTATTATCACTAACAATAGTATTATCACTAACAATGGTATTATCATTGTATTGAACTATTGATAATAGAATTCAATTAGGGCGTGACACGACAGACACAGACGTAGACGCGTAAAAATGTCCTTGTCACAGTTAGAGGGAACAGTAGTATCTATGGAGGGAATGAACAAAAGCCAGGCGAAAGAAGTCATAGACCTCGACAATAAACTAAAAGACCAAAATATCGACTTATCGTACCTGATCCCTGGTTTTTCTGGTAGTGGCTTTCGTAAACTATGCGTTCACCTGCAAAAAAGCGGTTTTGATCCTAACGAAGTAATTCCATTTTTTCACACATTATTAAGCCATCTGGGGCTGAGTCAATGTGTTCCAAAACCCTCATCCATTCAGCCATTAATAAGTTTTGAGAGTAATTTTGAAAAGGAGGATTTCAAAGCAATTCAAATGAGATGCTTCATTGTACGAGTGTATCGAAAGCTTGACAATGACCTCCGTTCATCATTCCTTGAAAGTATTTGCTCTATGTGTAGGATCAACTCAGAGAGTTACTCTGATAGCTACAAGCTATTTAAATATATTGAAAATGGAGAATATGTTCACACTCATGATGAGACTGGGCTTTTCTTCATCTTTTCAGCACTTACGACCAATGCAGAGTATTCAAAAGTGTTAACTTTTGCTAAAGAACTGATTCATAAGGGTACATATAATTATTTGTAATTTCTGTAAAATTTAAATTTAATCAAATTTTTTTTACAGTCTGTCCAGAGTTAACTGTGCAAAAACTTGAACGAAGCATGATGTGGATTAAGGAATACAAATATTGTGAGTTTGATTGTGATGCTTACATGCGATAAATCATGCAGGCTGTATACTGTTAAGTTGGGATGCTCCACAGACTAGTATTAACATGATATTTTACAAACAGATTTGTTTCATTAATATCTATAGCTCTAGTGCCATAGTATAAAGTGTAACACCTGTGTTTGTATAAGATTATGATGAAAGTACTACTAAAACCTAAGTGGTATTTCCCTGTTCCCTAGGGACATGATAACTATAAATACACAATGTACAATGAGAACATGCTCTTGGCTTTACATTGTTATCATAATTCATTTTTATAATTTTAGATCCGCAACATGTCATTTCAGAGCTATCAAATAAGGTAAAAGTGACATACAAAGACATGGATGATATTCCAACTGGTGACTTCTTTTCTCCTTGGCCCAAAGTTGATCGTACACGCTATGTGACCCTTGCTCTTGTCAAGAATATTGGTATCACACGAGATGATGACTTCTCCCACCGCACCCTCAGAAAATCAGAAGACGACATTCCTCGACATAAAGATGCTGTCACGTATGAGGAAGTGTTTGCTAGGAAGCTGTTACAAAAAGCACAAATTCTCATCAGTGGACGTCCTGGAGCTGGTAAAACAGTTCTATTGACTAAGGTTGCCAAGGACTGGGCAAAAGGAGAATGCTTACATGATGTCAACCTATTACTACATATTTCACTTCGTGAGCTGGCTCGTAAAAGTGACTTTCCTCAATTAGAAGATGCCGTAAGTTTATGCCTTTTAGACAAGGAGAAAGTCCACGAATTAGCTAAGGTAATTGATGAGGTCAACGGAAAAGGAATTTGCTTTGCTTTTGATGGCTTGGATGAGTACCCTAAACGCAACGATCCTAGTGATGCCATCATGAAAATTATTCGTAAAGAATTTCTACCATTAGCCACTGTCATTGTCTCATCTCGTCCAACTGCTTCTAGCTGTGTACCTGTACAAAGCAGAGATCTACATGTTGAGATAATTGGTTTTATGCCCGAGCAGATTAAAGAGTATGTCACTCAATACTATGAGTCACTTCATACGCCTCGTGAAGCACAAGACCTTCTCTCGTACCTTGATAGTCATCCGAATGTCAAGGACATGTGCTATCTACCACTACACTTAGCTATGATACTGTACATTAACCAGTTCAAAGGCAGTAATCCACTCCCTGAGACAGAGACTGAGATCTATACTCAGTTCATTGCTCATTCCATTATTCGCTACATTAAAAAAAAAGAAGAGGCAGATGACTACATGATCAACATTAGGGATTTCAAGGATTTAGAAAGAGAGCTGAAAGAGGAGGGACAAGATGAATTGGATTTGTTCCATACAATCTGCATGATTGCGTTTGAGACAAAGCTCAAATCACACTTGATTTTTGACAACAGTTATCTCATAGATAACTTCCCCGATCATTTTAGCAGTCGCTCTAATCGTAAAAAGTTATCAAAGAATGGCTTGGGCATTTTGTCCAATTATACTAAAAAGATTCAAACAGGTGAAGAGCCACAGTACAGTTTCCAGCACTTGACCGTTCAAGAGTTCCTGGGAGCTTACTACCTCAGTAGAGTTAGCTCTGAAAAGTGTCTGGAGTATATTATGTTACACGGAAGGTCTAGCGATTTGAGAGAGTTCTGGAGGTTTTTCTTTGGTCTCACAAAATACAGCCCCTCATCTCCAGCATACTTTGGTAAGATCTTAGCTGCAAATTGTACCCAGGGCAGTGAAACACTGTTCCTTGCTCGTTGTCTTTTTGAAGCTCAGAAGTCTGAGTACAGCACTCAAAATTGCAGGGATTTCCTGGCATCGAGAAACGGAAAGGTTGATGTTAGTAATATCATTCTTAATTCTCCAGACTGTGCTGCTATTGGGTACTCAGTCTCTCAGTGTCCTCTTGATCTGAGGGAGCTAGTCATGAATTACTGTCAAGTTGGTCCTGGTGGAATTAGAGCTATGAATTACCAAATGGATCAAGTAAAAGCCGTTTTTACCAATGCCATAAATATGCAGTGAGTTTTGATCATTTAAAAGTACAAATATAAAATATACAATTATTTTTGAATTTAGGGTAAGATCACAATTTAATCCTCTTGGCAACGAAGGAGGGAGCCCGTTGACTGATATATTAGAAAAAATGCCACATCTTACTGAACTGAGGTAATAATACATTTACTAATGAAGCACTATGGTGCATGGACTCGCCTGCTGGAATTCACTTGAGTGATATGTATTACTTGTACTGTGATATTTTAAGCAATTTGAAAAAAATTATTATTATGGACTGCATAGTTATAATGATAATTAAAATAACCTATGGGTGTGGTCAACAACTAACTATAACTAAATCATGGCACATGGGTAGGAGAAAGAAGAAAAGCTGAAATTTATTTTAGCATCTGAAGCTCTATTCCAAGAAAGAGTTGGCACAGAAAATTTTTATAGATATTTAAAAGAGACTGAGAGAGTTTGGTTGCTCCTGCTTTCCGCAGTGTCGCCTGAAAAATTCTCGAAGAGGCTAAATCACAAACTTTGAGCAACTGTAACTCACAAACAACGAAGTTAGGACAAAATCGTTCTTTTTGTTTTTCGTTAGATTGGATTTTCTACCTCTGAAGCAAATCTCGGCCCTGTAGAGTGAAACACGAGCTCTCACCTGGAGAGAGGTCCCCTGGTTTAGCAGTCACAGCTTTTGGTGCCACGGGATGCTACAAGAGCATAGCTAGATGAAAGAAAGCAACTTTATCTGTTGCTAGAAGAAGGAATAGAGCTCTAGACTGCTCAAACAAAAAGATAATTTTTTTACAAATCAATTAAACTGTGTGGACAGAATGACAGAATGACAACCCAACTGCTTAGTACCCGCCTACGCGAGTCCAATGAAAAGAATTGTTTGATATTTTGGCTATTTTCAGGCTTTATGGTAATGAACTTGAAAATCAAAAGCTCTTAGAGCTGCAACCAGTCATTTCACCGATGACTAATCTTCGCATTCTTGTGTAAGTGTGTTGTTTGCATTTTGCTATTTAATCGTTTACTATTTCTAGCCTGACTAAGAATAATCTTGGTCCCAAGTCAGGCGAAACCATTGGCAAAGTTATTTGTAACTTGAGAAGTTTGATCCAGTTCTAGTGAGTTTTAATAGTGAATATTTACAAGTCTAATGTAATTGATATAAATAATTGATACCATGATTACGGACTTTGACAAGGTCAAAAGTTTAAATTTGAAATTGGCCCCTTGTGTTATGGATTTTTATAGCAAGGACATGTTGAATGTATCGTTCATTTTTGTGAAACATTTTGGTGATAATTTTTATTTTTAGCGCAAGTTATAATCCAATCGGTACTGAAGGATTGGAAGCTTTATTGCCGGGACTTGTCAACTGTAAACAATTGCAAAGGCTTGGGTACGAGTATTGAATACTTCAGTATCTATTAATATCCTATATTACATATAGGTTTCGTGACTGTCAGCTTTCTAGCAAGTCAGGTCAACTGTTTAGCAAAATAATATCACAACTGTCAAACCTTGAGCAACTTGAGTAAGTTTTTGCTTTACATCAAGTATGGCATTCACTATAATGTATGTATTATTTGGGTGTGTTGTTTATAAATTTGTAAAAAATATCCAATTTTGATCGGAATCAGCTCAAACTTTCTACCCAACATAAAAACAAGTATATGCATCAGAAAAATTATAAAAATATAAAATTCTCTCTTAGTCAATTTTGGCAAAATTTGACCAAAATCCCTATACTGTAGTACAGGGACTTTGGCCCAATTTTGGAGTAAATTAAAAAATTCGTAAAAATTTTAATTTTGATTGGAATCAGCTCAAACTTTCTAGAAACATGGCATAAAAACAAGTATATGCATCAGAAAAAAATTATAAAAATATAAAATTCTCTCCTAGTCAATTTTGGCAAAATTTGACCAAAATCCCTGTACTGTAGTACAGGGACTTTAACCCAATTTTGGAGTAAATTTAAAAATTCATAAAAAATCCAGTTCTGATTGGAATCAGCTTAAACTTTCTACACAACATAAAAACAAGTATATGCATCAGAAAAAATATTAAAATGAAAAATAATTATAAAAACAAAAAAATTTTCTTTTTGAATTTTTACAAAATTTGGCCGAAGATGACAAGAACCTAAGTGCTATGCCAAAATTCTGTGAGAAACCTTGATGTAATTTGTCACATTTCTTCATAGCAGAAAGTGCAAAATAGCTAGTTCTAAGTACCTACAATTACAAGTTTCGTAGCTAATAAAATAATTTTTTAATTTATTTAGATTGTATCTTAACCAGCTTGGTGATGATGGTATTGAAGACATGATTGAGAGTCTTAAAGTTGCTCCAAACCTGAAACAATTAAGGTCTATAGCACTTATGATTAGCACATTCTAAAAATGTTATTATGCAATCATTATTCCTATTAACTTCTTGTCTACTTTGCAGTTTCACACAAAATGGCATCACTGATAGAGGTGGTTGCCGTTTAGCAGAACTAGCTGAAGTCACACCTTCATTGCAGCAAATGAGGTAACGTTATTTCTAATTGTCTTGTGATGATTGTCAGTATTGATTGTGTGCACGTGTGTGTAGGTTGTTTTATAATCAGGTCTCTGATGTGACGAGGAAAGCATTTTATGATGCTGCACAAAAGAGGGCACAGAAAGAACTCCATGAAGTTCGATATGCAATTTGATTGCTACTTTAATTTGTATTGATTTTTCATTGGGAAATTATTGTGTGAACCACATCAACAATTAAATAGATTATAAAAAAGGGAAATTTTTGTCAAATTTGTTTATTCCAAAAAGCATGGACAAAGAATGTAACAAAAGGTGGTCCTTGGACTGATGACAACATTGCCATTTTTGTATAATAGGAAGCCATCAAGGATGCTAATCGTGATAATAAGTTATCTCTACTCTATCTATATATTTACTAATCCTTAGCCAACAGCTACAGTTAAGTGTTTGCGAGTTCACTGTGCCTTCAGCCAATGGAGGGTCTCTACCTATTCTTTGTAGCAGTAGCAGCAATGCTGATCAATGGCTGCTTAACAGAAGAATATTATGTAACCAGCAATGAGGAGAATAGCTGCCCCAGTGTCACCCCTTGTTACAGTCTTAGCCATTACTTTAATAATCCTGATACTTACTTTGTGGACAATTCTGTATTTATCTTTCAAAAAGGAACACATGTGCTGGACCAAGATGAAGTCCTTTTTGTTGATGGAGTAAACAATCTTACAATGAGAGGAGAAGAAAGCGAGCTAGTGGAAGGATTCCATCATACGGTCCTCCAATCACCAGTACTAATAGACTGCCAGCATTCACCTACTGGTATTGTCATTCACAACAGTGATATGGTAAATATTGAAGGGCTCACGTTCACTAATTGTGGTGGCTACCTACCTCTTTTTGTAGCAGATAGTCTCACATCTCTCAATCCACTGGGCCACATTGCTAGAGAGAACTGGTCTGACTATACAATGGCCCTGTCTTTCATAGGAACCACCAATGTCAACTTACATAAAATATCTATTCAAAATTCCACCGATTTCGGGCTATTTAGTTTCAACACGCTGGGATTTTCGATTTCCTACTCTTCATTTGCTGGCAACAATCTCGAAGGGCATGGTGATTGTAAACTTAATACTTGCCATGGTGGTAATGCAAATATAATGTATTCAACCTTAAGCAGTTGCAGTAATCGATTCAACATCTATGACACATCTATTACTCACTCAAACTTCACGTTTGGCTACGATAGCAGTTTTTTCAGCACAGCATCAGCAAGTGGGTTGTCATTTTTTATGGAACAGAGTGACTACTATGGTGTTGAGGTCCAACTACATCGTCTGGTACTATATGGTAATACTGGTATTCAAAGCGTTAATTTTCGGTTTGCTGTATCAAGGAATGCCTATTATTCGCTGACAATGACAAATTCCATCAGTGTCTATGGAAATCAAATGTATCCTTTACCAAAAGTTCCTATTATATTCTTTTATGGGAGTGGGTTTTCAGCTTTGATTGGTGTTAGTAGCAGAGCTAGAACGAGGTGTTTTAATAGAGCCCGACTACCAGCACAACTTCAATCCTCTGTAACTGTGGTGAATTGTTCTTTCTCTCACAATCATGCATCCTTTGGGGCAGGAATGGTCATATCTTTTCACCACAATAGATTACCCAACAATCGGCAGCAACACGTTATCATTGACTCCTGTACCCTCCAGAATAACAGTGGGTTCAGTGGTGCAGGCTTGTTCTACACACAAAGAAATCGACTTAACTACAATGTAATTATAAGGAATGTCATAGTGAGAGATACCCGTCATTATGATCCAAAGGAAACAGATGCAGAGAGTTCATCAAGTTCTATATTAATACGAAGAGCAGTCAATATGACACTCATTGATGTAACCGTGCAAGATAACAAAATATCTGGAATGCTTTTACTAAACTCATTAGTATTTTTCAAAGGAATTAATTCCTTTATTAACAACTCGGCTGAAAACGGTGGAGGTCTGGTACTATTTGGAGACTCTTTAGTAATCCTAAGGCCTCCGGTTAACATATCATTTATAAAAAACTCAGCCACAAACAAAGGAGGAGCAATATGCGTGAGTACAATACCATTCGCAAAGCCGCCATGCTTCATGATGCCTTATGACCCAACACTAAACACAAAACCAAAGATTAACATTACTTTCAATGGAAACGTAGCAAACATAGCTGGCTCGGCTATTTATGGCGGACTTATTAATAGATGCTACTTGACTTACGTCTCTGGTTTCGCAGTGAATGGTAATGGTTTTTCACTTGGAAGAAATGCATTTCAGTATATATTGCATTTTTATAATCAAAATGGCCCATCTAGGATATCATCAGACCCAGAGCAAGTCTGTTTCTGCTTTGGAGGTAAACCTAACTGCTCCATAGAGGCACTTAACTTCACCTTATTACCGGGACAATCAGCTAATTTTAGTATGATTACACTGGGCCACATGAATGGTGTTTCGCCAGGCATTGTTGCAATACAGGAACGGAGCGAGGCAAGAGATGAGTTCATTCACATGGGCTATGAGTCAACAGAAACAACCTGCTCTTATCTCCAATACCAACCTAAAGTAAAAGAGCATGCCACCTATCCAATGGTACACTATGTCAAATTATTCCTACCTCAAGATAACCCGTTAACTCGAAGAGTCTATTTCAACATTACAGAGTGTCCTTTGGGCTTTGAGGTGTCTTCTAAAACTCGCATGTGTGACTGCAACTATGAACTATCAGCCAGTGGAAGTGAAATACTCTGCGATGCCAGCACAAGCTCTTTCTCTCATAATGGTAGTAAATGGGTTGGATATATGGATGAGAACAACTGCTTTGTAACTTCTACTAACTGCCACCTGAATTACTGCAAAAAGGGTTTTGTCAATTTCACACTTGAAACAAACGATGCTCAATGCGACCTCAATAGAACTGGCTTCCTCTGTGGTCAGTGTGCTGAAGGACACAGCTTAATGCTAGGATCAAACAGGTGTGCCAAGTGTACTAACAACTTTCTGTCCCTTATCATTCTCTTTGCATTCGCTGGAATTGTACTGATTGCATTTATCACTCTACTCAATCTTACAGTTTCCATTGGCACTATTAACGGCCTCATATTTTACGCCAACATTGTCAAAATAAACGAGTTGAATTTCTTCTCAGGTAAACGAGCAACTAAGTATTTCAGTTGGTTCACTTCGTGGATTAATCTTGATTTTGGCATCGAGACCTGCTTCTTTGATGGCATGGCCAGCTACACCAAGATATGGCTTCAGTTTGCTTTCCCTTTCTACTTATGGTTTCTCATGATTTGCATTATCCTTCTCTCCCGTCGCTCCTACAGGATATCAAAGCTCATGGGAAGACACTCGATATCAGTTCTTGCCACTGTACTACTTCTTTCCTTCACAAAGATACTGAGAACATGCATCTTGATATGGCAACTAAGTTCACTCCAGTGTGGGTCACATAGATATTACGTGTGGTCTGTAGATCCAAGCATAAATTATTTCAGCTCAAAACATTTACTAATGTTCCTCTTTGCTTTGATCGTGTTCTTATTCCTTGCCTTTCCCTATACACTGCTCTTATTATTCAGTCCTCTTATCGAGGGATACTTCTCACGCTACAAATGCTGCAGGTATTGGGTCAAACTCAAGCCGCTGTTTGATGCCTATAACGGGCCATATCATGACAAGTGCAGGTACTGGACTGGTCTGCTATTATTGGTGAGATTATTGATGGTTCTGGTATTCTCATTCAATACTGCTGGGGAGAGCCTGACTGTGGCTATTATTGTGATTGTCTGTGGTGTTATGCTATGCATGATAAGCCTTTGCCATGGTCTTTATAGGCACAAGGTCAACACAGTATTGGAATGCTTCTACATCCTCAATTTGATGTTCATTGCCTCCGTTAGTTTGGTCAACTTTCTCGAAATTTTCTCAGTCATGCTGAGCCTTTTTGTATTTCTTGGGATAGTTACCAGTCATCTCCTAGTCCAGCTTAAAATACCAAAGAAAGCAAAGAGACTCTTTAGGAAACTAATCAAGAAGGAAGAAGCCAAAAAGAAGAGACTCCCAATACAAGTTGACCTGTTAGATGACAGAAGAGTTATCAGTCATGATGTTGACACAGAGATAACGACCACGCTTGACTTGCAAGACAGACTAAAGGCCTTCTACAGGGAAGGGAGTGTGTTTGTACGAATGAAGAGGGAAACTCTCATTCGTGATGATGAGCTGTGAAATAAAAAGACTGATTAACAGTTATGCATATAATATGTCCTTAATATTGCCTGTCATTTACATGTATGTAGATCATTACTGTCATTATAACTTAATGTAATTTCCTTTATCATTATTGATGATGCCATATTAGAATGCAAACTTGCCATTGAAAACTCTTAATAAAATTTGCATATAGCCAAAAGCTCGTATACAAATTATGTCACATTAATGACATTACTAATCTAGTTCTAGTCACGTCTATTAAGGTAAACTCACCCAATAGTAAATAAGATTAGGAGTGACACAAATTAGTGGTAGGGAAATCTCTAAACAAGGGAACATTACTAGTAAATTGGGATCAAAGTATGGCACAATTAAAATCAAATTTAGATTATAATGTTTGTTTGTACTAAGAAATCGATCTATAATTAGAAATGGAGTAGTAGACCATACTTTTCGTTCGTAGACAGTTCCGCTAACAAAATAGACAAACATAAAATTTGACTTTGTACGCAACCACATCAAAAAGATTACTCAAATATAAACTAATGAGTGTACTAACAGATACAAGGTGATGATTTAAAAATAAACACACATACAATCACATAGATAGATACATACAGAGAGTAAAAGAAGTCATTTGTCACTGATGAACATTAAAACTGGTCTATCAGGAATCTCTAGATAAGAAAGCAAATCGTCATCGGTGGAAAGGTTGACCGGAGTATCAAACGACTGATAAAAATAAATCAAATTTTGACAAGCCAATGAATCAAAATCGTAATCCTTTGCTTGAGATAGTACAGACTCGTATAAAGAAGTCATGCTTGACCCTGCTGGAACTGATAATAGTTTGCCATTAGAGAGCTGTACCGGTATTTCATCATCATCAGGTCTACTCAGCTGCTTAACTGGTGAAAAAGGCTCAAAAACAACAGTGCCTTGCTTTGCATTGCTAGACTCTCCAATGTCACCGAAACTAGTAAGTTCATAATCATTGGATTCAATCAAACTCAAAAGAGAGGTGTAATCGTTCAGATATTGTCCACGATTCTCTTCAAGCGCACTCAAACGAACCAGTGTATCCCTTGGATACACTTTCCATAATACAAGCACGGGACTTTCGTTGTCGTACTTGCTATCAAAAGAGGGAATTGGAGATAAGAACCCTTCACCGCCACTTATCACAGAGCAGCCACGCCCGTCAACAAACCTCGATAAGAAAGAAACAGGACTAGAGTAAGGACGAATGCTAAGGACTAGCTCACTGTTATGATATACTAGAATATGACCGGATGATAATCCCAACCAAACTGTATCGATGCATGATGTAAGAGCAGTGATGTATCTCTCGCCATTGCCTTGCTTCCCTTCATTCTGTATCTTAATGTCGTACAAATGCTTCGACTCCGCAATATCCCAAACCCTTACTACAGTCGATCCAGTGCTGACGCTGTATAGAACTGGTTCGCATTGAGAAACGTACAAACGGCCGATTTGATTATCCTTGGCATCGCCTCCATCGCTTTTAGTACGAAACGAAGACACAAACTTCATCAAATTCGGATCAAAGATGTAAATACAATCAGAATTAGCTATGAACAGTCGATCCCCCATGCTAGCCAGTCCTGTTATGACTCCCTCAGCAATAAACTTGTGACGCGGTTTGGGCGAGCCTTTCTTCACGTCCGAGGCGTTGACAGGGAAAATAAATAGAAATCCCATCTTCGTACCCAAACAAACCTCAGCCCCTACGCGCTCTATGCAAGTAATGGCGTTACCACTCATCTTTATGTTGTGGACTAGTTTCTTTGTGTTTGAGTCGAATATAGAAATGCAGCCAACATCATCAGGGAGCTGTGTAGAGACCCACACGTTATCGTTGCAGACTTCAATAGCAAGGACCTCAAGTAGTGGACTTTTGACTTTGAAAATCTTAAGTGCATGATTTATAATATCATAAACACTTATACGTAGCTCTTCCTTCCCTTTGTAAAGGGATACCATCCACAAATCAGCAACTATTCCGTTAGCAGACCCACACAAAGAAGGCATGCCTGATGCCTGAACCGGTAACTGCAATCCAGTGATGGACTGAGTGTCTCCTATTAACTGGACACTTACCTGCGACATGAAATGAATCATGGAGTCTAAGCTAGTGCTTAATATTGAGCCACTTTTTAGAATTTTTAATAAATAAAACGGGCTGGCTGATAAGGAAATCTGGGCAAGACTGGTCATGTACTGGCTCCAAAGGTTTAACTTGTTTTTCTCGAGATTATCAAGACTTCCGACTATAAGCTCTTCTCTGTTTCCTGTGGCATTTGTCATGTTTCTTCTAAGAGTCGTGTCCGAGAGAGCTAGTGTACAGTTGGTGACACATTTCTCATCTAAACTCCAGAACTGCAATTCACCTTCATCATCACTGATGCTCTCCACCTACATAAAATAAAGACAATATTATATTAATGAAATATTATTATCATTAAAGATATAATAGTACATACTACATAGAACATACAGATGTCCCACGTTACCTGTGATAGTGCTTTAGCTATTATTAGTCCAATACGATACAGTACAAATGGCTTTGATATCTCTAACTTCTTTGGCAGTTTCATTTGTGAGGGGCTGACCCTCAGTAGAGGAGTCTTGCAGACAACGAGTGCCTGGGACCTGTCAAGACTCAAGGCAAGGAGGCGTCCATCTTGACTAGTGCAGCAAGGAGTATTGTACCTGCCAAGGGAGAGGCTTTTAGATGTTAGCTCTCTTAGTGTCGTCTCAGTCAATCTGTGATACTTAAAAACAAGCACGTTCTGGCCTTTGTACGTCGCTTTGTACATGAGTCTGTACTGCTCAGAAGTAAAGTACTGCATTGAAGATAGATCAGATCTTAGCTCAGTCATTGAATGGGTTGGCTGTATAGAGAGGAATGGTACAACCATTGCCAATGGAACACAATGATTATCAGGACAGGTAATACTACCACTCTGTGTGACAATAGCAGATATAATTTCTGACAATGTGAAAGACTGCATTTGATTGCTCTGACCAGCTATACATGTGGGGCAGACATAAGAGACTTTAGCTTTAGGGAAATGCTCTTCAACTAAAGAGCTGAGCATTTCTAAGCACTGAGCATGGCTATGAAGAGAAGAGTATTTAACGGTTAGTTTGACAGAGCGACTCTCTCTACTTTCTTCCCTGATTTCCTTTATCTCTTCCGTGATAAGGATTCTTTCATCTTCATTGCTCCAGCCTACTCCTTTATCCCAGCAAAAGAGTGTGTCCTCATTTGAGAGACTCCCCCGAGTCCCAGTCGTAAAATCAGACAAAGGAACCACATTATTAATAATAGAAATGAGAGACGTCGTGAAGCTACGAGGAGGCTCAAACAGATAATGCTGTATGTGAGAGAATGAAGAAGAAGAAGAAAAGGGAGGAGACTGGTGTGTCTGTGGATTCTGCTGAAAGAGGTTAGGATTAGCAAACCACATGTCTCTTAGCGCAGATATAAACCCGAAATGAACAAGTGCTGACATTAAAGGTAGGACAGGAACAACTCCATTCGATGCTCTGTCTTGAGTGTCCTCAATCCGACAAATGTACTCCTCAATGTCTTTGTAATGGAATATGCCGTTGTACTTGGGATGACAGTAATCCATGACTAGCTGGGCTCTGCTGTACAGCCAGTCCGGGTCCATGTAATAGCTGTCTTGTAAATTATTAGTAATCTCAATGGAAGGGACAGGAGTAGATAGAGTGCTTTTACAGCCAGTCCCTGAGTACTTGAGCAGACAACCGACTTGATTTAAAAACTGAGATATGGTCTCAAGCTCGTCGTGACTCCTGACTTCGTTGTCTTTGAGGTTACTCACAAGTTTCTCTATTTCCTCGTACGTCAGTACCGGAGGCTTTGCGTTCTGACTAGCCTGTCGACTGTACTCCTCCACTTCTCCCTTGAGGCCCAGCCCAGAGAGAAGGACACGCCTCCCCATGTACGGGAGCCCGTCGGTGTTTCGTAGTCTTCCCGAAAGGTCAAAGATTGCATCACGGACTTTGTCCATGTTTTGAATGTTCCCTGTGGCTAGGGAAACTGTTTCGATGATGGGCCTAGCGAAAATGAGCTTTTTCGAATATCCTGAAATCAAATCCGATAGTTGTGACTTTGCCTTCTCAGGAATAAAAGGGTCGGTGATTGTGTCCAAGTGAGTTCCCACAAAGAGAACACATGATGGTAGGCTATGCTTAGAAATGGCATCAAGTCTTTGTTGCAGGAGATGGAAGTCACTTGCGAGGTCGTTCAAATTGAATACAATCAGATAAAGAGCAAAGGGAGTGTAGAGCAGCTCTTCCATGCTATGTCTGTCTCTGTTCGACTTTACGTCCCAAATAATAAACTCATACTCCTTACCCTCGCTTGATTTCTTATATAGCCAGTTACTTAGAGACACGCCTCCTTTATTGGGAGGTGTGGCCTCGTACGAACTAGGAAGAGAGTCTCGTAACTGAGTCACAAGCGAGGTTTTTCCAGCTCCAGGGACTCCAGTAACGACCATCTTCATCTCATAGAGTTTCCGAGAGTTATCAAGCTGAGACTGAAGGTATGTCATGGCCCCTTCAGTAGAACACTCTTTCAGCTGCCGGTCTGATATTTCAAGGCCTTCCATTCGTAAGTCCTCAAGATTATCGAGCGTGGAGACCCAGAGAGGGAGAGATTTTATGCCGTTGTGGCTTATGTTGAGGTACGAGAGCTGGTCGAGGTTTTTGATGACGTTTGGGACTTTTTGGAACTTATTTGAGCTAAGGTCGAGATGGGTTAGCTCTACTCCATGTTCAAGGGAAGGAAGGGCTGAGAGTTGGTTATTGGAGAGATTTAATGACCAGAGATAGGGGAGGTGGAGCAAGGCAGAGCTTATCTGTGATATACTGTTGGAGCTTAAATCCAGAACTCTCAACTAGAAGAAGGGGAGAGGAAGAAAAAGAAATAAATAAAGACATAAAAAGTGTCATTTTCATATTCATCTTAACAGCAATACTTTAGGACTGAGCAGACAAAAATAAAACATTTGACCACCGTCACAAAATACATCCATTCAAAGCTGAAATAACTGACAGCTGCTACACAAACAACAATCATACTTTCATAAACTTACATTTTCTAGTGCTCCAAAGCTGTCCCCAATAAAAGTCAGCTCGTTCCGTGCAAGACTTAAACTTCTAACTGACGATATGCACCGAAGGACATATAAGTCATCAACACAATCATCATAGACGTCAAGGCCACTCCAATCAATTTCAAGTCCCCTACCGACTCTAGTGTGTATCAGTAGCTCACGATAAATACGATGATCAAATATGACCTTTGCAAGCTTGAGAACTGCCCCTGTGGGGACTTGCTGAGCTGCCGCTTTGACCTCTTGCGCTAGTCCTGATTTTGATGAAGTATTATATAAATTCTTGAGTAGCTCGAGGTTTCCTGTGACAACCGAGTGTGCTATTTTTAGTAACGCCGTCGATTTGTGTTTCTTGTGCTTTTCGGCTTCTTTGATGACTGGGGGAAGGAGGGAGAATGCTTTGGGAAGCAGCTGCTCAATTGTGTGGAGTAATTCGAGTCTAGCAGCAACCATAAGGCCATCTAGTAGCAGAGCCTCTCTATCATTAGCTGGTATGTCATCTATAAGAAAATATATAATAATAGTTAGGACTCTACTCCCTAAGGTATATATTATTATCAGCAAATGACTAAGAGAAAATTCTCATTTCTATAACTTTTTTGAGCTGGTTCCGATCAAAGTTGGATTTTTTTTAAATTTAAAGTTACTCAAAAATTGGACAAAATTCCCTGTACTACAGTACAGGGACTTAGGTCAAAAATGGCCAGGAGAGATTTTTCCATTTTTATAATTTTTCCTGATACATATACATGTTCTTATGCTGTGTAGCAAGTTTGAGCTGATTTTGATCAAATTTGAATTTTTTATGAATTTTTAAAGTTGCTCAAAAATTGAACCAAAGTCCCTGTACTACAGTACAGGGTCTTTGGCCAAATTTCACCAAAAATGACTAGGAGAGATTTCTCCATTTCTATATTTTTTCTAATACATATGCATGTCCTTATGTTGTGCATTAACTTTGAGCTGATTACAATCAACGCTGAATTTTTAAATGATTTTAAAAAGTTATCCCAACCAGATATCAAGTTAATTAAAGGGTTAAAAATTAACACTGTATCACTGTCACTCATTCGCACTGCATCATTGTCATTATTAAGTATCTTACTGTCCTCTCCAGTCATGACTCGAAGAAATGGACCATCTCTTGTCTGATAGCAGTCAATAGCTGATGCTTGATGACTGAGTAAGAACAGCTGGCAGTTTTTGTGACCAGCTTCGCTAGCTAAATAAAGCGGGGTCACTGCTCCGTTTGCTGTTGCATTTATATTAGCTCCTTTGGATAACAGGAAAGCCACAACTTCGACGTGTCCATTCCTTGCTGCCTCGTGTAATGGAGTAGCCCCCTCAGGTCCTTTCTGTTCCAACTGGTCATTGAAGCGGTTCCAGTATTCCTTGATATTCTTCAGGTCTCCTTTAACGCACAAGGGGCGAAGATCGAAATATCCCGGCCCGCTGAGAACCTTTGCTAAGCCTGCCATCCCTCTTGTGTTAACTTTGCAAAAAAATTAATGGGCCATGCCTATTTCTGAGCCACGCCTTTTTTCCACTTGCAACAAAAAGGTGTGGCTGGGTAAAGTTTCCTTGACAACAAAACACATGGAGAAGGAGCTCCTCTTCCCGGGACAGTAACATCAAAGGACTATCATGGGAGACAAGAACGTAGCACAGTCTAGAGCTGCTTACAGGGAGTGCAATCAGGTAGTCCAGGAGGAAATATGGAAAGAGAATGTAAAAAAGGAAGAGGTGGCTGCCAAAAAATGGTAAGACTTAAGAAGCTTGCTCAGTGTGCAACTTTGTGTCTCTTTGTGCAGGGAAAAGAATTGGGGGTTCATGGCAGAGCTTGACTTAAAGGTAAGTTATAGAACACCATGCATGCTTTTAAATCAATATTGCAAGCATCCTAAGAACACACTAAAGCTTCACTTTCAATATAAACTGCCTAGCAGCACCGTTTACCTGGGTGTCATCATTAGCTAATGTGCCAGCTAGTTTGCACTCAGTGAGTTAATGAGCTCTTTCTCTTCTTGCAGGGAAATCCAGTGAAGAGAAGAGAGCCTCCAAAGAGTGGCGGCTCATTTTACAAGAAGAGTGGGCTACCTGTTACTACTAGTCAGACGTATGGGATGCAGTCAAGGAGCACTCCTTTTATAATGAAAATTGAAAGACTTGGAAGTCACCACAAAAGAAAAACTGACGTTGGTACAATCTTTTACTAGCAAATCTAATTCTAAATGTGTTTTCAAACCTGCATGAAATGATATTTTTAAAAAAGAAATTTTCTGACTTATTATGTGTATTTAGTGTACAAAGAATCATGTACTGATGAATTATTTTCCTAATATATCCTACTAGTGCCACCATTTATTCTTGGTAGCACTACAAAGGATTTCTTGTAGTAAACAGTAAAGCTCAGATGTCATATAAATGACTTTAATCACATTCCACAAGAACTTAGTAATGCAATATATCACCATAAGGAAAGAGGAAATGAAACAACATCTACCAATGGGTTACTAAATTGGATTTTTAAAAAGTGCTACATGATAATAATCTACTTGCAATTGAGAGGTAATAATACTAAGTAATTTTAGTAATAAACACTAAAGTCCATTTTCATTATTGCTGTCCTTGTTTTGTTTTCATGGCCACAAGAAACTGAGAGACAATTTTATTCATCCAAGACCTTCCTCTTGGATAGACACCCTCTATAAACCCAAAGTGTCCACCATGACGCGTTAAGAGTAGAACTGTGTTAGGATTCGATTCAAATTCTAAAATTGGGATAGCTAAAAAGACAAAGCAGAATAGTAATAAAACTAATCAATGTTTATTTACTAACTGTGTGCTGGAGCAAAAGGATCATCCATTGACGATACAGCAAGATATGGTACTTGGATATCACTCAGCTGTGTGTCTATACTGCACTGCCTGTGGTACTGTTGTACTGATTCAAATCCCCAGGTTGGAACTGTCATCTCTTTATTAAAGTCACTCAATCGCCTTGTCTGAATAATAAGTTTTAAGTCAGTATATTATGTATAAATATAGTTTACCCTTAAAACTCTTGAAATATCAACATTAGGATTTTGAGAAATTATGGCAGCATTCCTAGTTATAGCAAAATTTTAAAATTAACATGATCGGTTATTATTATATGAAAACAATTGGCTCCAATGTTAACTGTTTTAATCAATGGTCTGGGACTGATGCCAAAAATATTATTAACAAGAAAGTGACATAATGCAAGTATGGTTGGCCTTACTTTTGAACAATGTCCTTTAGTCCATCTACCAGAGTCTCCACATACACTTTCCTGTTGATCCAAACTCCTTCAAGAGTTGGTATCGTGTCCTCAATGTTCCAGCATGCAGAGAAGGCCACACAAGCATTGATCTTGCTCTCAGACCCAGCACTGTTTAGATACTTGGTTAAAATCATACTACATTAGCAAAAACAGATTGTAAAAAGGAGATTTCCCATTAGCAAATTAACATCATGGTTAATGCTCTAATGGTTTATCTTTGTTATCATAACGTGCTAAAAGCATTAGCTCTGAAGTGTAGAATGCACCCAATAATGTGCCCTGCCTTACCTTCCAAGGGAGACACCAATGGCAACAATTGGTACAAGAGGATAACGGGTCTGTATAACATCAAGAACAGCTTCAATGTCTTCGTTAGTCACTGCAACTAGTCGAGGGGATTTAAGCGGCATGTTAGCCATTCCTCTGTGATTGAAGACAACGCAGTGGTAGCCTTGATAAAGGCCATCATGAACAAAGTGTGATACATAGTTCAGCGAAGAATCACCTGCAAAACATAAAATCATGTCATAGTACACTAAATCATGGGTATATCAAAGACCAGCCCTTGTATCGTATGAAAATAATCAATCGTAATATCATAAATATCAGATTCCCAAAGTACAAACTATAGAGACCTGTTATTCCTGGTACGATCAGCATTACAGGTTTATGTTGCAACATGGCGGAATCATCTTTCTTCTGCTTGCTCCAATCGAGGGCAAGTTCTCCACCATCAGGCAAAGTAACAATCTCCCTGTAGAATGCAAACAGTAATTATCACGAGAAGTGCATTTTAGCATAGCTACCTGTCAAACTCGATCGGAATGCACTGCTGGAATAAAGCTCTGATAATTGTAGTCCCGTGATAATGCCAGGCCCATATCGTGGGTCTATAGGACTGGGATAGAACAGGACAGTGAGTTAGTAGATAGTCCTTGAGGCCACCTCGTCCACCATACACCAAAGGGCGACGATCAACAACAAGGTAATACCATAGGAGGTTAAGGACGGCGGCCACAGTGAGCAGGGTAGGGAAGGGATGCTGGTCAATGTAAAACTGGAGAGATGAGGCCATGCTTCCTATAACAGAAGACATAATGGCCGATGTGTATTGATGACTGCCGGGAAGAGCGACTCTCAAAAAGAAAACAGGAAGATGAGAGCTTGATTTGTGTATACGGTAAAAGACGCAGAGTGTGGATTCGGAATATTAATGAGAAACGCCTCCAGCACACCACCCACGCATTATAAATGAGATTTAAAGGCAATAAAAATAATAATTAGATTTTATATCTATTATGTATTGTACAAGTTATTTCATGGCAAGCAGAAACTCAAAGAAGACTTTATTCATCCAAGACCTTCCTCTTGGATAAACACCCTCTATAAATCCAAAGTGTCCACCATGACGTGTCAGCACTAGAACTGTGTTAGGATTCGATTCAAAAGCATCTATTGGTATACCTATAAAAAAATTAAAGCATAATCGCACATGCTACAAAGTGATGCATGAACGAATAACATCATTAAAATATGCTAAAATTAGTAGAATGCTCCATACTGGAGTTAAAGTATGCCTCTCACTTACATTCTGTAGGAGAAAATGGATCGTCCATTGCCATTACGCAGATGAAAGGTACTTGTATGTTTTTTACTTTATCATGTATACAGGATTCTTCGTAATACTGTTCGCATGATTCGTAGCCATTGGAAGGAGCTGTCAGTGCATCATCAAACTCTGTGAATGTCTTGGCCTTAAATAAAAGAGAGAAAATGCAATAATAATAATAATTGAATAAGCAATGATAATTACATTCATAGCTCTCTCTATGTTAACTGATGGATGTTTTGCTAATTCTGTTACATTCCTTAAGAAAGAGTGACAAATTTAATATGCACTATTGTCCTTTTACTCGTACTTTCTGACAACGTTCCTCAACCTTCCCAGTAAAAAGTTGACGTATAAGAGCCTGTTAATAGTCTTTTCTTCAACCGAATGTCTTGACAGTTCAACGTCCCAAGGAGTAGATATAGTCATGCATGAGGATATCTTACTCCTGCCTCCAGCACAGTGAAGATAATTGGTCAGTATTATCCTATATAGAATGACAAAGGCTCAAACAGTATTGTTAATGATGCAGACATTGTAAATTCTAATGCTGCTTTAGTTAAAATTTTGTTAAATTTCTCCTTACCCTCCTAGTGACACCCCCAGTGCAATGATTGATGCATTAGGATAGGATTTATTAATAGCATCAATGACAGCTTCAAGATCACGCGTATTATTAGCAGAAACCATGCAAGGAGATGTAAGTGGTATATTGCCCATTCCTCTTTGATTGAAGACAACGCATATATGACCAGCCTCAAGGCCATCCTGGACAAAGTGCTGCACGTAATTTATACTGGAGTCACCTAGTTCAAGTATTATAATGTAAGTATTATGTATTTAGCTGAACATGGTATCTGTATTATTATTTTAATGTCTTATAGCTATAATTTCTTACCACTTAATCCTGGTATTATCAATAGTACTGTGTTATCGATAGTGTCTGCCCTTTTAGCCCAATCTAATCCGATTTGACCTCCATCAGGTAAATGTAGCATCTGCCTACAACATTACAAATATACAAGTAGGTACAAAACGCAGTGAAACTATAGCTAAATTTTTTAAAATGCTCATAACTTGAAAAATATTTCTCGGAATCAGCTCAAACTTTCTACACAGCATAAGGACATCAATATGTATCAAAAAATGTAATAAAATTTGGGGGTGATTTTGGAGCCATTTTTTGGAAAAAACCATGGGCTATAGCCTTGGGTATTTTTCAAAAATTTGCTCGTTTTAAAAAATGCTCATAACTCGAAAAATATTTGTTGGAATCAGCTCAAACTTTCTATATAGCATAAGGACATCAATATGTATCAAAAAATGTAATAAAAATTGGGGGTGATTTTGAAGCCATTTTTTGGAAAAAACTATGGGCTATAGCCTTGGGCATTTTTCAAAAATTGGCTCGTTTTTAAAAATGCCCATAACTCGAAAAATATTTGTCGGAATCAGCTCAAACTTTCTATGTAGCATAAGGACATCAATATGTATCAAAAAATGTAATAAAAATTGGGGGTGATTTTGAAGCCATTTTTTGGAAAAAACTATGGGCTATAGCCTTGGGCATTTTTCAAAAATCGGCTTGTTTTTAAAAATGCTCATAACTCGAAAAATATTTGTCGGAATCAACTCAAACTTTCTACATGGCATAATGACATCAATATGTATCAAAAAATATAGCAAACATCTGAGGTAATTCCAGGGCCAATTTTTGGAAAAAATCATACCCTTTGCTTTTCTCCAAGGAAATGCTCATAACTCCAAAAAATTTGCTCAAAATTACCTTAAACTTTCTATATAACATTAAAACATGTATGTGTATACATATATGTATATATATATATTATATATATGCTAGTTATTAATTATAATTAATTAACCTATTATATTGAATTGGTAACAGTTTCTGAATGAGTGGGCGTATAATAGTAGTCCCATGATAGTGCCACGCCCATATTGTGGGTCTGTATGGCTGAGACAATGAACGACACTGAGAGAGGAGATGGTCTCTCAGTCTGTCTCTACCACCGTAAAGCAAAGGACGACGAACTACTACAAAATGATACCATGAGAAATAAACAGCTGTCAGTATTGTCCCTATAATTAGAACTGGGTGATTATATACGGTACTGGTGAGGCTGCTGCAGCTAGGGGAGGGAGTAGGGTCTTGAAAACTCATGGTTTTGTGAGAGCTGAGCTGTCGATGTCCAGGTGGAGAGAGGGAGTGGCTGGTTGCTGCAAGCCAATAACCCCACCTATTGTTTATACAACTCCGTATACTAACTCAGTATTTTTTAACAACGTGGAGTCATGTGGAGACAAATCACGTGATGTTGTAGGCGTGGCCAAGGCGTGGTTTACTGCAAAATGGAGTTTTATGAAAAAGCTAAAGATTTGCTCTCCAAAAATCAACTAGAAGAATGCCACGAGGCATTGAATAAACTAATTGATAGTAGAAATAGCTTATCTTCAAATAGTCTGTCTCTCCAGGTACTAGCAGACGCTTATAACACAAGAGGACATATAAAATACTTATGGGTTGACTTTGATGCAGCCATTTTGGACTATTCCGAGGCTATTCAGTGTGATCCTTCATTGGCTGTTGCTTATTACAACAGAGGACAGATTCATTATAGGATGGGTAAGTATTAACGCTAATAAAACTCTTGAATAATGATGATACCGTTTAGCATTCATTTAATATTAAAAGTTTTATAGATCATTTTGTGTAATTTATTTTTATTCTTAGGTCGTTACAGTTTAGCTGAGGTTGATCTCCTCCAGGCTTTAAAACTAAAGCCAGACTTTACGGATGCCGCTTTAAATCTCCGCCAAGTACAGAAAGATATTGCAAGTGGTCACAAATTTAACGTATAAAAACTAAGAATAATAAATGAAATGTGCATATCTAATTGTCTCTATTTTATGTTGTGTTTTTTTTACTACAACCTATGTACTACAAATCTATTGAGCTATAATGCTTTATATCTCTAATTATTTTTTCTACAAAACTGTCTGTGCTTTGGTGTCTTTATCATCATCTTTTATTAAATCTAATATCGCTCCTAACTGCATGTTAAAGACATCCATTGACTTAGTGAGTGTGTCTTCGCTGAGATCCTTCTTTTCTGCTTCTTGCTTATCCTCCATTTTAGATTCTTCTTTCTTTACATCTTCCTCTGGTTTTCTTTCAGCACCCTCTTTTCCTTCCCCTTCCCTATTGCTTTGCTTTTCATCTCCCATTGTTTGCTTTGGACTCACCTCTTGCTTAGTGCTTCCATCTGTTACATCAACAATGCCTAATGGTGTTGGATTATTTTCAATTGGATTATTTTCAATACCAGATGTGTCCACTGTTGTCGACTCTTTGGAAGAACAATTAGTGTCATCACTGCCAGAAGTTTGAGCATCTGCAGTTGTTTTTGCTTCCACGTTGATTATTGAGCTTTCAATAATAATGGAGACTTCTAGACCTCCTGTTTCTTGTTGTTTAGACTCACTAGTGTCTTTAGGCTCATCTTTTGCATCATCTTTCTTTTCTTCTTTCTTTTCTTCATCCGTATTTTCATTGTCTTCTCCCGTTATCAATGCTTGAGTCTCAAGATCTGTAACTGGCTCAGATTCCATTATAATGACTCCTGGTATGCCTTCTCCAAACTCACCAGTTGCACCTGCTTTAAGCTCAGTCTCCTCTGCATCTTCTTTGTCTTCTTTGTTGTCAAGTTTTGACAAATTTTTGAATGTAGTGAATTCAATTTTACTATCGTAGCGAGATGGCAAACTATAATAGAAATTATAGCAAATAAAAGTGATGTGTTTATATACGAGTAGCTTACTCAATGTATTTTAAGTCCTGTATTCCACAATCGTGAGCTATTTTATAAAAAAATAAAAATTAAAAGTGTATTAATTATTTCTTACCTATTACAAACTTGTATGCCTTCATTTTTGACTTCCAACTCCTAATCCGGATACATAGTATCAAACAGAAAATGCAGGCACAGCACATCAGCATTAACAATGCTAGTCCTGGCGGCCAGTAGTATATAAGTGGCTCTTCAATGAGATCAGTCAATTGAAATGTTGGCTGCACTGTGACTGATGATGGTGATGTACTTTGTGAACTTGTGTGTTGTGTTGTAGACTCATATACCGAAGTGAAAACTACTGCTGATAAAGAAATTGTTGAAGTTGTAGCTAATGAACTGGGAATTGATGGACCGATCAGTATTGATGATGATTTACTCTGCAAACTTGTGTGTTGTATTGTAGACTCAGAACTTAGATTTACCACCGAAGTGAAAACAACTGTTGATGAAGAAATTGTTAAAGTTGTATCTGATAAGCTGGGACTGATTGAATCTGTTGATGTTAGAATCATAGTTGATGATGAAACTCTGGTGGTATTTGTAATAGTACAATTGCTCTCATTGGATAGTAAGATACATGAATCAGTTAAGCTATAACAATAGTCATCTTTATTAGAGTCATTTAGTAGAAGCTCACATGAACTAAAACTACATGATTCACTTAAAAGAGTACAGTTACTATCACTGCCCTCATTATCCGCTTCTCTACAGGTCTCGTCATCAGAGACAGTAATATTGCTGATCCTAGCAGTAGATCTATTGTTGTTATTTGAAATGGGCTTGAGTATGCAATTACCACTTTCCTCACCAGCGTTAAAGCAAATCTGATAGACAAGAAATACAGCAACAATAATTGAACTGGACCTCATTTTAGTCTTTCTTTTTTAAAAATAAGTATCACTACAAACATTTTTATAATACGTTTTCAGCCACACCTAGTACCTTGTAAATCTAAGGGTGTGGCTAATACACTTGTCAAGAGCATGTCCCAGTATCAGAGTGTTGTATGTGAGCTGATACTGGAGGAATCATTTGGTGAGCTAGTGAAAGAGGTTGGGAGTTACCTGCTGAGAAATGGTGGACAAAAACTAAAGGATCTAGTGAAAGGATTAAAAAAGAAAAAATCAGATGTATGAAAAATAATAATTAAAATATTGCTCCACCCCTCTCTCCTTAAAGGTCATAAAATCTCTTATAGTTCTAATTCAGCATTCCCTAGTATCATGTATCAGTCATAAATCAGCTACCATATATCGCATGATGACCAGTAACATATTATGCAGAGGCATGTTCCCACAATATGCAGTGACTGGTAGGGAATTGTCCGGAGAGATTGGGGAGGCAATAATTGAGGATTTTATACTAAATGGACATTCTTGTATGAGTGAAGTAAGTAAAGGGAGGAGCATCGTTATAAAATTAATAGTAATATAGATATAGTGTGGGCAGGAAATTGGAAAACAATTAATTTAATAATAGAATGGCCTTAAATTGATTTGTCATTTTGTTTTTAGGTAATTACTCGTGTTGTTCTCAAATTAAGTGATACCAATCAAGACATTAAAGAACTTAAATTAGCGGAAGACGTCAAAAACCATTTCGTTAACTTGGTAGACATGCGTCTGCTTCAAAGAGTCGCTTTAGCACCTTCAAAAGAACTAGGGATGACCACACCCTCTCACTCGTTATCACCTCAAGATAAATACGTCATTCCTGTAGAATTAGGAGGTGTGGTTTATCATTGTCACATGATTCTCACATGATAGTTTAATTTGTAGCATCTGATATTGTGGCTGCTTGTAGTGCAAGGAAGAGAGGGAGGGCTTCACCTGATGAAGGGGAACTACCTCCTTCAAAAAAATCAAAAAGGTACAATGAAAACTATCATTATTATTTTTTAATTTTTTATGTACATTATAATATTGACAGTGATGAGCAGGGTAAAGATGTAAGTAAACATTATTTATTATTTATTTATTATTATTTATTTATTGTAGCCTTTGCCACCCGATGCTACGGTCTTATGGTACATTGATTTTCAACAGTTTCAGTGTCACTACAGAGATCAGGTATACTATATGATGCAGTGACAGCTGCTCTTATTTGAATTTTGGGATTATGTTTATCAAAACATTTTGTGATTCATACATTGTTTTTTAAACACATATACACACACTGTAGGCTATTGTTGCTGGAGTTAATAACAGAATCGATCCAGTAGGTTTTAATATACATATACATACACACGTACATGTACATGTATCATAATCTAATTGGTTATTCTTAATAGATTGCAGCTGGTGTAATGAAATGTCTTCTCTCACTTTCCACACAAGACGTTGACCCAAATTCGTATCCAATAGTTGGACCAGAGATATTTCTATTACGTCTTAAAGACACTCTGCCACAGTATTTATCACTGACTGATACTGATCTTGAGCAATACTTAACAGTACTTACTGAAGATGGGGTGAGGGGTGATACTGGGGGTGAATTTAGAGCAAAATTAGATGTTTTAGACACTCCCAAATAAGTGTAATTTGGAGTCAATTTTTGAGAAAAATGATACATGTAATTTATTTCTTGTTAGTTTATAGAAAAGGTTGGAGAAGCTTCAAGTGGTTCATATCACATAAGTAAGTACCTATGTGTTTTTTAAAATACTTAACTACTTAAATGTAACAGATTTTAAGAAGTGTTCTGAAATCCTTTGTCAGTCCCAGCTGGAACTAGTTGTCAGAGAGAGATTTAATGACAAGCACTTGAGATTGTTTCGTCTTCTTTGTCTCAAGAAACGTCTAGAACAAAAGCAAATCTCAGACATGGCCCTCATCCCCAACAAGAAAGCTAAAGAGATCCTGTATTCCTTATTAGCTGAGAACTTTATAACATTACAAGTGAGAAATGAGTTTTGATAACATGCAGTGGGTAAAGTAAAGTCCTCAATATTGTGAGCAACATGTTCTGCTGATTCCGATCAAAATTGGATTTTTATGAATATTTGAAGTTGCTCCATAATCTGGCCAAAGAATCTGTACTATTATAGTACAGGGTATTTAATAAGAACTGTTTAGAAGAGAATATTGCAGCCATAAGCAGTAGGTGTACTTTTATGACATCTTTCATTTACAGGAGGTCCCACGATCAAACGACTATGCTCCCTCTCGTACTTTTCACTTATTTTCTATTGAACTGAACACAACTACAAGAATAGTCCTTCAGAGATGCTATAAAGTATCACATGACTGTCACATGACATTAATTGTGTGTAACTATTATTAATTTAGGCACTCGGTAATTTGATGACATGTCGCAAAGAAGAAGGCTCAAAGAACAAGTATATGAATCCTCTTTCTCTCCTGTGTATTGTATTTTTGATGCTGTTTCTTCTCTTCTCAGGAGATTACTTGAAAAGTACAAGTTGTGGTTAAGGCAACAAGAAGCTTTTCAAAACGAAGAGGAACCGATTGAAATAGAAGAAGCTTTGACTCCAACCGAGAGAGAAATGACTGAAAATGTCATGAAAAAAATTGCAAAGTATGTGTAATCATTGTAGATATTATAGATGCTAATTGCTTGTGTAAAAAGTTTGAGCTCATTCCGATAACAAATGGATTTTTTAAATTTTTTGAAGCATGCAATTTGTGGGGAACTAAGGGTAAGTGTAGTTTAGTATAATAAAGATTATTGTTAATTTTATACACCACTTTTATTAGTGTTCTTCTTTTATAGGCTGGAAGCAAGTGAGTTGCAGCTGATGGAGAGTCTTCTAACTTTTGAAGAATATTTAAAATTTGTTTCATAGTTCTAAAAAATAGTTTAAATACCTTTCACAGGCTATGATTTTCATTAGATATAATAATCCAGATAAAATATCTCTTCGCAGGACAAGGGCGTGTCTACTCAAATTTCAAAATGTCGCGACGCGTTCCTCCGCCTCCTCCAACGCTACAGCAACAAAGACACTCATCATCAGCTAATGCTCACTACAGCCTTCCACCTCCTCCATTTCCTGATACTACACCAGCTCAGTCTGTAAGCTTTGCAAAGAATGAGCTCTCCTTTATTAAAAATCCACCAGAGGAAATTTCCATTGAGTGTCCAATATGTCTGAGTGTCATGCTAACTAGCTCTTCTCTGACAAGTTGCTGTGGCCATCATTTCTGCAACTCTTGTATAAGCAGGGTGAAGGGAGCCTGCCCTCATTGCAGAGAAAAGTCCTACCAAACAATGCCAGATAAAGACAGGATCCGTATAATACAAGGCCTGAAAGTGGCCTGCAGCAATAATGAAGCAGGCTGCAGTTGGGAAGGAGATCTGAAAGATTTATGCTCCCATATTGACAGAGGCACAAGAGAGGGAGAGTGTCAATTTGAAACTGTTCAATGCCATTATCCACAATGTGGTGTTAAGAAGATCAGAAGAGAACTTGATGATCATGAAAGTAATGAATGTCCATATAGACCTCACAAGTGTCAGTATTGTGGTGTTTCATATCCCCAAGCAGTTTCTTCTGAACATTACGAGTCATGTATCAAGTATCCTATAGCTTGTCCTAATGGTTGTGAGCTGATCCTACCTCGTGAAGATTTGTCCTCACATTTATTGACCTGCTCTCTTCAACCTGTTGACTGTGAGCTGCAGTGGGCAGGTTGTACTGTTAGACCATTGCGTAAAGATGTTAGACAGCATCTTGTTGATAATCTGCATGAGCATTTTTCCCTCCTGGCTGTTGCTTGTGGTGTATTGAAGGAAGAGAATAAAGAATTAAGAAATGAAATAAACAAACTAAATATCTCTGAAATATAATATTACTGTACACTATAGATACTTCATATCTACACTATACTATGTTGTTCCATATTAGTATTATTTTTACAAAAATTTAACCATCTTTGAAATCATCTAGCCACGTGCAAACATGTGGTCAGAATTTGAGCGCATGCATGTATGCATGCATGCATGCACATCACATGCTCTCATTTATCAAATCTCAACTTCTCAAATTTTCTGTTGGAACAATGGCGGGAGAAGAAGGAGAGTTTTGGGAAAAGGATCGTCTTCTTTCCGAGTCAATTTGCTCTACTTACTCTGAGACTGAGACTAGTGACAACTTCTCTGGCAGGGTAAAGACAAATAGCGACCAATCGAGTGACGAGACAAGCCCCAGTATGAGCATACTACAGCAAACAGCTCCTTTTCTGCTACTTGGCACCGACTCCCAGACACCGTCTCCCATGCAATCCTGGCACTCTGTGCTGGCTGAACTGAAGGGCCCCCGGAGAATATGGACTGTCACTCTCTTTTCTTTCTTAGCTGCTTTCTCTGCCATACTTTCTGGATACACGCTCGCCTTTCCTTCCTCTGCTCTCCTTGATCTAAGGAATATGACCAACACGTCTCGTTTTGTCAAAGGATCAAGCATTGAAGATTATTTTGGAGTAAGGATGATAATTAATTTACGCTTTAATTTACACATCTCAATTTACACCTCTAATTACTCTAGTAAACAACTTGTAAATAGCTCAGAAAAGCTGAGATGTGAAGAAGTTTAGTTATTGTATTATTATTCCATTTTTCTTCTACACTAGGCAATGGCTCCTATAGGTGCTATTTTTGGAGCAGCAATAGCTGGGTTCCTGTCTGATGTCTTTGGTCGTAAGCTGACGTTGATCTTAACAGGACTGCCTCATGTCATTGGCTGGCTGTTCTTGGCTGGATCATATGACTTACAAAGCTTGAGACCAGTCTTTATCCTTTTTTTATTAATCGGACGCTTCCTGTCTGGCCTGGGAATGGGATGGGCTATGCTAATTGCACCTGTAAGCTTATTTCATTTCCCTCCTTTTGATGTTTACCACTTTCCCTTTGATAAACTATTATCATAATTATTACATGTATTACCTTTTAAACGTACTCTCAACTATCCCATTATCCTTTTCTCCCTTTTCTCCTCCTTCCTTCTCCCTCTCCTGTTTTTTTTCTCTCCATTAGATATACATTGCTGAGATATCAGTCCCAGTAATGAGAGGTTTCTACAGTGCCCTACCACAGTTGGCTCTATCTCTTGGTATACCTTTAGCCTATTGTTTTGGCTATAGCCTAATGTACCATCAGTCCTCGCTTATAGCCGTTGGGATTGCTATCTTCTGTTCTCTAGTGGCCATTTTTATTCCTGAAAGTCCACGATACCTCCTCTCAAAAGGAAGGCGAGAGAAAGCTTGCCGAGTATTAACTGTGCTACGCGGAAAAAAGAAGTCCGTTTTATCCAAGGAAATATTTGAGCTCGATAATCTAGTCTATAAGCAGCGTAGACTGAGATGCAATGAGTGGCTCTCGGAGCTGAAACAAAGACAAGTCTTCATTCCTCTTATACTGTGTCTTTTTGTACTAATATTCCAGCAGCTCTCTGGTATAAATGCTCTCTTCTTTTATGGCGCTCCTATCCTCCAAGAAGCTGGTGTGGCTAAATCGGAGTTCATGGCTCTACTAGCCATCGGTCTAACAGAATTCGTGACGACATTACTCACAGTCTTTATAGTGGACCTCTTTGGAAGGAAGTACATGCTAATGCTCAGTAGCTTCATTATGATGTGCAGCTGTACCGGATTAAGCACTCATTTATACCTAAAGGACTCTGGGTCTGATGGTTCTCCATTAGCAATACTCTCAGTCATTATGCTTATTGTTGGGTTCTCACTTGGTCTTGGAGCCATTCCTTGGACTCTCATGACTGAACTGCTTTCACTACGTGTCAGAGGATTTCTAGGCGGAGTTCTATCCGCCGTCAACTGGGCCTTTGCTGCTATTGTTACCGGGCTTTATTTAGAGTTTGCCTCTAAAAGCAGCGAGAGTTTTGCCTGGTGGATGTTTGCTGGAGTCAATTTGGTCGCTTTCACTTTCGTTGCATTCTTCTTGCCGGAGACAAAAGGGAAGAAACTCGAGTTTATTGAGCAGCAGATGAAGAACAATTTCAAACTATGTGTTTGAGAGAGGATCAACTGTCATTGCAATTATTCTTTATTGTAAATTGACCTCCACATCCATACTTTATTATGTACATAGAAATACATGTAGTAATTATTGCTATCATTTTATTATTATTGTGTGTATAAAATCATTATGATTACATGTGAAAGTTATGCTGTTTTAGAAAGTGTTCTTTATGATTGAGAATCGATCTAATTTCTCTCTCCACCTATTACAATTCAAAGATAGCAACAATGTACAGAGAGAGAGAGAGGAATTGAGTTTAGGGGACAAAAAGATATAGAATAAAAGGGAAAGTGTGTCTCTGTTTACCTCAATTTCATAATTTCATCTTCCAGTGAGTTAATACATTCACTCAGTGGCTTGCTGTGCACTGATAATGGCTGTCCTCCTTGTTCATTCTCATCATTCCTTCTACCTCTAATGTCTTCAGGCTCTAAGAGATACCTCTGGAGCTGCTCGTCAAACCTATAGCAATATGAACCATTAACATTACAATGCAGTGAAAAGCTATACAAGGAACCTATTAACATTACAATCAAATTACCATTAAGTTCTTAATATCTTTAATAAATTCTATTAAAGATATGAAGTAGTTAATGGCATTACGAAACATTGAAAACCAATGGCCCTAGTCCATGTACATGTAAACAATGTACATGTACATGTATGTACTATAATACATACAGTATCATTGAACTTTGTTACTAATAGTATCTAAATAATGATTCTCTGACTAATGTGAATTGTGTCTTTGTGGTTTCAACCACAATGAACCACATACTATTAGACTAGCCAGCACTTGACATAGTGGTCACAAAATGACACAAATGTAATGTACACATACATGTATGTACATGTACAATTACATGTGCATGTATCTTTTATTACTCACTCCATTGTTGCTGTTTTCTCATATTCCAGCCTAGCATTAAACCCAGTCATGTGATCAGAATGGGCTGGGTCAGCCCCGCCCAGACTAAGACGCACAGCTTTTGGCTCTCTCGGTGAAGACGAGAAATGAGACGAGGGATCACTGAATCGGCGTTTTCTAAGACCCTGTCCTTCATCATTGGAGGTTCGCCTCTCACCTTCTCCAGTGGTAGCTGTTAAACTATCCACAACAGCTGCCCTCCATTCAGTGGGTGGGATAAACTCCGCCTCTTCCTGTCTCACACGAGACATGCCTACCAGTACTTTATTCAAAGGATCCGATGAGCATAAGAGAAGATGCTGGATACAGATCAGTAGTATGTGATCCCAAGGGACAGAACTGTCTCTTAATAATAGGGACTTGACTCTAAATAGACACACAATATAGGATTATTGTATAAAATTAATGATTCCATTCAAGATGGTTTTACTTATTGGCGATTGGCGGTTCCATGCTGCCATTTTGCACAAAAACAATCAATTACTTACAAGTACACTTGTATTTATACTAATATTAATATCAATTACCTTGATATTAGAAAGAAGTTGTTGTCGACAGATTGTACATAGGCCATACAGCTTCCCCTAGTATCATTTAAGGATCTGTGTGGTGGGTTTGGCTGTGGGTGTGGCAGTCTCAAAGACTCGAGGATAGACTGAAACTTATGAACAGCATCAGGTTGAGAGGGAACCCAATAAGGAGGCGTGTCTAGTAGAATGTTATAATAATAATTAATGATAATGATTAATAATAATTACCGGGACGTGACTGGATTAGTGTGATTGGTAATGAGGTCAGAGAAGGTTTTAGTAAAATCTTTTGAGACAAGTAGTCCAAGACACTGTTGTACAGTCCAACTATGACACCAGGACTCTGGAAAAGGAAGACAATTATATTTGTATCATATACATGTATGTACACGCTCTTATGTAGATTTGTAAGCATGTTGCATAAAAATTTTGAGTTGATTTGGATTCTTTGTGAATTTTTGAAGTTGCACCAAAATCAGGCCAAAGTCCCTGTACTATAGTATGGGGATTTTGGCCAAATTTTGCCATAAGTAAAATTAGAGAATTCTATAGTTTGAAGTCGAGAATTATGAGCATCTAAAAAAAACCAACTTTTAATCACAGCATAATGTGTGTCCATAAATGACATACATGTACACTCACTTGAGAGGGTAAACCTGAAGCAGATCTCACTTGAGCATCACTTAGTAATGGCTTTATAACATTCACATTTATCACTAAATAATAATAATAAAAATGTATAGTGTGTGTGTATGTGTAAATAAATAAATAAATAATAGAATTGGGGCATTTTTTGACTGACTTTCATTGATGTAGTTTTCTCCTCTCATCCACTGGACAGGAGGGAGAGAAGGAGAGGAGTTCAGACACCATTCAACAAGACTGAATAACTAGAGAATGATTTGACAAAAACACAAATCAATTTTATTTTTTTTATTATTTAATTTTATCCTATACTTTTTGTTCGTTTTGTTTCCAGTCATTATTTTCCACTAACGGATGAACAAGCAACTTAGAAAAAAGCGGCCAGTTGCAAAACTCCATCTCTACAATAAAAACATGTACATGTACATAAAAATCAGTTATTATTTTTATTTATTATTATTATTAATTTTATTATTAATTTTAATACCTTGGCTAAGATGAAATTGGTGGAGGAAATGAAGTTGAGAAGGAGTTAAAATAACTAGCGGCACTTGAGCAAATGGAACCAAAAATCGTACGACATCATTGGCCACACCCAACACCTGTTCCGTATAGCACTGTCAAAGGGTTGAAAATAATTATGGCGGGCATTAATTAGAATACCTGTGGTGAGGTAACCAATGGTAAATAGAGTAGGACGGTCGATATTAAATCATCGTTGATAATATTAATATTAGTAGATAATTGAGCAACAGTTAATACCTAAAACAATAAATTGTATCACAATTAAATTATTAAATAAATTGATTACTTTTATTGATACTTTTAACGTCTCATTATTAGCAAGTGTATAACAAACCTAACAATAATAAATAAATAAATAAAAATTTTAAATTTAAAATACTTACGTTTTCCAGCTCTTCATTCTGCTGTTTAACATACCCTAATTTATTTACAAGCCACTCCCACAATAATTGATGCTCCTCCCCCACAAGAGGTGTGGCTGATCCGTTTATTAATAACAAGTTCCAGTGAATGTTGGTTCGGTGGGGGCCGGAGGGTAATAATGATGAATAATTAATGGAACTAATGAAGTCTTCCCTAATATATAATAAACAAAAACAACAACAACAACAACAATAAAAAAACAATAAAAATCATATTCCTAATAAAAATCAATTATATACATGTAGCAGTTGTGTGCTTGTTTCGCAACAGTTAGCAACACCCATACATATACAAGCATTTTAAAGCAGGATGTTAATAAGCAAATTCTCAGGCCCACTTAGTAACTAAGTAAGCAATTTACGAACCTGAAATCAAGCAAAATTGAAACTAGACATGTTAAAAATTAACATATACATGAACGTACCTTGTCAGATTTGCTAGAGATGATGATTGTTCTAGTCTCCTTCTCTTAGGAGAGGACGAGAGGTTCGTGGGTGATTTGACAAGTAGATTCAACTGTGAGGATAGAGGAATGAGAGGGCCAGTGGAAGGGAACGTGCTTATGGATATATGAATGTGACGCCGTCTTTTAAGAGATCTGATCCACCTGCAAAAAGTTTTTACAGTAATAAAATAAGCTATTAAAAATTTTAAATAATGAGCAAAAGTCTTACTGATAAAATAAAAATCAATGTAATAAAAAAATTCTCCTCTTTTTATTACTTTATCCAATATTGCTTCAGTCTCCATCTCTGATGCTGTAATCTTTTTGCTGCCAGTTTCTCATTTCTCTCCTTCTTTGCTATTGCCATACACTCATGAGCGGTCTCTCTGGTCATACTAACACACACGCTATCCACCAGCTCTGAGACTAAGGACTGAACTGCCCTGTTGAGGGCCTCAAAACTCAACACTGCATCCGTTATTGCTTCCGTGGCAACGAGTCTAGACTCCGCCCTCAAAGCATTGATGAGAATCTCGTTAGAAATTTCTAAACATAGTTTAGCTTTAAATCTAATAAAAGAGACAATTATAAATTCACTAAAATTACTAGACACACGTTTAAAAGTAAACTGTATATATTTTCTCTATCACTTACTCTTCCTGATCTCTGAGGTCTCTCTCTTTCATTAATTCGGTTAGCAATTCCTGTGATATTTCAGTACAGTATGATACAAGTACTTGTGTCATCAACTCATTCACTGTATTTATGGAGATGGAAGTAACAAGCTCATCCTTTTCAGTCTGTAAAAAAATAATAATAATAAACAAGAACAATAATGGTTCCTAGCAAAAATAAATATAAAATGTACTAAAATGTCAAATAAAATTGTCCTAGCGAACTTGTTTTATAAGATTTGTTGATATCTCTTTCAGTTCATCATTAATAACTGTGTTTGTAATATCAGTTACAACAGAAATAATCTCCTACACAAAAGAAGAGAGAGAGGGTGTGAGAGGTGTTACAATTACTTTACCTCTTCGTTAATTTTAGGAGCTGGTTGTTGAGTAACGCCTGAACCAGTAAAGCTACATGTGGGGGTGTGGTTAGGACAAGGAGGGAGGGGGCCTCCATAAACAATCTACAAAAAAATAAAGTAAAAATAAAACATAAATTATACAGCATAGCCTCTATAATAAGGACATATTTTATAAAAGGGGCTCCTTTATAATGTGTACTATATAATGTACAAATGTGTTTTACCTCTCCATAGCTTTTGTCAACGTCTTTGGAAGATAGTAAATGATTGTCATATCTTAGTTTGACTGCTCCAGGATCATATTCTTCAGTCTCACTGCCACGCTGGAACTGAACCTTGTCTTTTATAATATTGAAACCGAAATAGCTACAGAAATCAGCAGCCTATTAGAAAAACAGTGAAAGCAAAAGTAATAGCATAATAATAATAATAATAATAACAATCATCATTATCTTGTAAGCCCTTTTTCATCAAAAATGGTAAGGGGCGAATTTTTCATTTTTTAAATTTTCCCCGATACATATACATGTTCTTATGTTGTGTAGAAAGTTTGTGTAAATTCTGATCAAAATTAATTTTTTTATGAATTTTTAAAGTTGTTCTAAAATCGGGTCAAAGTCCCTGTACTATAGTACAGGGTCATCGGCCAAATTTTGCCAAAAATGACTAGAAGAGAATTCTCTGTTTTTATATTTTTTCCTGATACATATACATGTTCTTATGTTATGTAGAAAGTTTGTGTAAATTCTGATCAAAATTAATTTTTTTATGAATTTTTAAAGTTGTTCTAAAATCGGGTCAAAGTCCCTGTACTATAGTACAGGGTCATCGGCCAAATTTTGCCAAAAATGACTAGAAGAGAATTCTTTGTTTTTATATTTTTTCCTGATACATATACATGTTCTTATGTTGTGTAGAAAGTTTGAGTGAATTCTGATTAAAATTAAATTTTTTATGAATTTTTAAAGTTGTTCCAAAATTGGGCCAAAGTCCCTGTACTATAGTACAAGGTCATCGGCCAAATTTTGCTAAAAATCACTAGAAGAGAATTCTCCATTTTTATATTTTTTCCTGATACATATACATGTTCTTATGTTATGTAGAAAGTTTGAGCGGATTCCAATCAAAATTGAATTTTTTACAAATTCTTAAAGTTGCTCCAAAAATTTGACCCAACACACAGTACTGTAGTACGGGGACTTTGGCTAAATTTCATCAGAAATAGCTAGGAAAAACAAACTCTATTTTTACTACATTTCCTGATACATGAACTTAAATAAATGAACACAAAGCACCTCATCTTCAGATCCAAATTGCAGCATTCTTGTCAAGTCTGTCAAAGAGAAATGCATTGGGTTAGATTTACCAGAAGAATGAGACTGATTCAGTGTCTTTAGAGCTCTTAGTCTTATCTGGACACAAAGAAATAAATTAGGATACCATTTAATAGAGAAGAGTACAAAAAATGAATGTATTATTTACCAAATCAAAGTATGAATGAAGGAGACATGATGATAAGTAGCTTGCTTTCCTATAGCAGCAACAAAAATACAATAATACAAATTGAATGTACTTACTTGACTAGTTTGAAGAAACGAACAAAGTTATTGCTATCCACAGACTGGACAACAGAGATTGCAAACTGGACCTCACTTGAACGTCTTATGGACTGATTGTACTGTTCAACCTTACTGTATATAATAATAATGATAATAATAATAATAATTTGTTGCTTTACTTGAATACATTTCCATCCATCAAATGAAGAAGAATGTCATAACAACAGAACTCTGCTTCATTTTTACATGTTATCCCCTACAAAAATAATTTTAAAAACACAAACAACACTAAATAATAAAATTTTATAGATAAAGAAACATTAAAAAATTTATTCATCAAATAAAATTTTAGGCTAGTTATTTAATTATTAATAAATTAACTCATACCACGCCCATTACAATATGGCTAACAGCAGCACTGTCGTGTTACAAGAAGAATTGACCTGCTGTATCTGTCACGACTACTTTAATAAACCAAAGAGCCTTCCCTGTATGCACACATTCTGTGCAGAGTGTCTGGAGAAGGCCATATCTCTAGCCATTAAGCCTCACCCTGAAGATGAACAGCAAACGGCGTGTAATCCGGCCCCTCCATCTTCTCAGGTCTTGTGTCCTACCTGTCGTGAGCCGGCTCAGCTACCAGACGGTGGAGTCTCTAAACTAAAGACCAACTACGCCATAGCTAATCTGGTGGAAGCAATAGTCCGCTACTGTCAAACATGCACGGAGGGAGAAATAGCTTGTAACCACTGCACGGATTGTAAGGCCTACCTTTGTGAATTTTGTTCAAAATACCACACGCGCTCTGTCGAATATAAAGGACACACTCTGATACCACAGCCCATTACTGCTCCACCAACTCCTACCTCATCACTTGCTTCAATAAACCCGCAACCCTCTTTCGAGATGTGTGAAGAACACAGTGATCCGTTGAGAATGTATTGTTCCAAGTGCATGGAGATCATCTGTACGATATGCCAATCAATATCGCACGCAAATTGCTCGGGTTGTATAAAATATATTAACAAGGAACTCATTTCCAGCGAGAAAGAGTCCCTAAAAACTGACCTTGAGTCCCTGACTAGTAACAGTGGAGATATGGGTCAACACTGCGAAGGACTGGCAAAAATTATAAAAGAAATTGAAGAAAAGAAGAATGGGATTTTAAAAAGAGTACAGAGAGCTAGTGCTACCTTTACAGAACGAGTAGAAAAGAGCACGTCTGACCTTGTGACTACAGTAACTTCTATCTACGATGAGAAATCATCTCCTCTTAAAGATGAACTTAAAAGATCTCAGACCATCAGAGAGAGAGCTGAAGAAATCATCAAAGCAGATCTAGAGCCTCTACAGTCAATAAAAAAGTTAATAGAAACAAAGAAAGAAGCTCAAAAGTTACTAGGAGACTGCAGCAAGGCTTTAGAATACAAGATCGACCCAGCTATACCCCATGTGGAATTCCAATCATCAAAACTACTTAACGATCCAGATTTAAATGTCGGCCATTTAAAAGAGGACATAGAAAGCTACGTAGCCATTCAGCCGCCATCGACCGTTCACCAAAATGAACGACAGTCACTTATACTGCAAGCAATGGGTAAGAACGGGTCAAATATAACGTATGGTGGTGCGGCCATTCACCCTCAAATCACTCACGCCCATGAACCATCTACCCTACTACCATACGAGGTAGTCGATAAAACCTGTGGAAAGTACGAGATTAAGTTCATGCCCACATGCCATACACCTCTCTCAGTAAACCTGGCACCAGTGTATGATATAATACTACCAGTAACTAGGGACTATACACCACTTGTACCTTTACCGTCCTCCTTTGAACTTACCTCGGCTCCATATGGCGTTACCTACTTACCTAATAATCAGCTAGCAGTCACGCTACAGGAGAAAAAGGTCGTATTATTAGATGCTAGCACAGGAGAAAAGAAAGGAGAGGTATACAGCAACTTTGTCCGGCCTTATTTAATGGCCGTTGACCGCGAGAGCCTTTGGATAACGGACAGAGAAGCTCACAACATTCACTGCTACTCACTCAGCAATCACCAGAAGATTGTACACTTTGGCACACGTGGGAATCAGCTCGGACAATTCCTCCATCCGCGAGGTATAGCCATACATCCCCTCAACGGGAACCTCTACATATCAGACATGAAGAATAACAGAATACAGGTACTGAAGCAAGAGAACGGATCCCTTGTACCTTTGACTAGCTTTGGAAGGGAAGGGCGAGGAGAGTGTGAGTTCGATCAACCTGCCGGCCTAATATTTAATCACGAGAACAAACTCGTTGTATGTGATGACAGAAACGGCCGATTACAAGTCTTAACTGACGAAGGACAATACGTAACCAGTTATGGCGTGACACTTGGTCAAAAAGGAGTCCTTTGTTCACCGATTGGGATTTCACAGGATCCTCATGGAAGATATGCTGTTGGAGAATTTGGTAGTCACCTCGTGACAGTACTGGACACAGAAGGGAAGGTTCTCTCTTGCACTCGGTCTTTGGGGAGAGACGTGGGGTCACTCTTACATCCGAGGGGCGTGGCAATCGACATGAGTAGTAATATTTATGTTGCAGACTATGGCAACAGACGAATTGTAAAAATGTAGAGTTTTTTTGGTACATGTATATATATTTTATATTAAAATATTTATAATAATCGTTAGTACACTGTGTGTATTTATTTACTAGTAATCACTATTTTGTGTATTTAAAAATTTTAAAATTTATTAATTGATAAATTATATTTTAAAAAAGATTATTTAAATACCTTTTCCTGGCTGAGGTCCTTATAAAGTTGGTGCAGTGATTGCAAGTGGTTTGATAAAGTCTCGGCATTCATCTTAGGGTCAAACACACTCACCTCCTCCTCACAGAGAATGTGAGAACACATGATATGGAAACTAAAAGTACAGTGAAGTCAAAACTGACCCTTAGTACATAAATAGAGTGCATTAATTAATTTGTACAGCCACATGTACATCATTACAGTGCATGTGTAAGTGTCAGAGGTTGCTATTATAAATACAGAAGGCTAAGAGGAGGTGATTGTGTATATAGTTACCGTGCGAATTGTTCTATCAAGTGCACACAATGAGGGTGAGACAACTGTTGGTATGTAATATCCTATGAGAGAGAGAGGGAGAGAGAGAGAGAGTGAGAGAGAGAGAGTGAGAGAGAAAGAGAGAGAGAGTGAGTGAGTAAGAGAGAGAGAGTGAGAGAATAGAAGTGTCTTCTTACAGTAGTAATGGCTCTTGTTCTATCCCATATAAAATTGTACCACTCAGACACGTGACCTTCACCAGCGTCCATTATAGCAGTCACAATGTGGTCCATGGTCATTATCAGTATAGGAAGTGGGCGGAGTTCATGTGGTAACGGCTCGTCCTAATAAATATTAATAGTGATTCTAATTAAACCACTCCTCACCTTATCAGCGGCTGATCGACTATACTCCTTTATAGCTAACGAGTGATTGACCCTTGGACCTTGACCCTGTACAAAGTAATAACTATTAATAACTATTAATAATTATTAATAATTATTAAAAATACTAAATGACTTATTAATAACAAGATTCTAATTATAATTAACTATTAAGCACTTACTGGTTCTGTTTCGATGCTATTATCAACTTCAAACATACTCAAACGTCTTTGATATTCTCGTTGGTATCGCTCCTAAAAAGTACAGCCATTTCAATTATTCAAAAATGCTCATAACTCATAAATAATTCACTGGAATCAGCTCAAACTTTCCACATAGCATAAGAACATCAATATGCATCAGAAAATGTAATAAAAATTGGGGGTGATTTCGGAGCCATTTTTTGGAAAAAAGCATGGGCTATAGTACAGGGTACTTTCAAGAATTTTGGCATTTTCTTAAAATGGCTGTAACTTGAAAAATTGAAGTCGGAATCAGTTCAAACTTTCTACACAGCATAAGGACATCAATATGTATCAGAAAATGCAATAAAAATTGAGGGTGATTTCGGAGCCATTTTTTGGAAAAAAGCATGGGCTATATATAGTACAGGGTATTTTTCAGAATTTTGGCATTTTCTTAAAATGGCCGTAACTTGAAAAATTGAAGTCGAAATCAGTTCAAACTTTCTACACAGCATAAGGACATCAATATGTATCAGAAAATGCAATAAAAATTGGGGGTTATTTCGGAGCCATTTTTTGGAAAAAAGCATGGGCTATAGTACAGGGTATTTTTCAGAATTTTGGCATTTTCTTAAAATGGCCGTAACTTGAAAAATTGAAGTCGGAATTCACTCAAACTTTCTACGTAGCATAAGGACATCAATATGCATCAGAAAATGTAATAAAAATTGGGGGTGATTTTGGAGCCATTTTTTTGAAAAAAGCATGGGCTATAGCCTTTGCTTTTTTTCAAAATTTGACCATTTTCAAGAAGTCGTCATAACTCCAGAATTTGACCTCGGAATCAGCTCAAACTTTCTACGTAGCATAAGGACATCAATATGTATCAGAAAATGTAATAAAAATTTGGAGTGATTTTGAAGTCATTTTTTGAAAAAGTATGTACATGTACATGTACACGTACTAGTACACAGTAAGATTAACCTTTTCAGGACACATGTCGGGACAACAGCCAACCTTTGCTTTTGCAGAAAGTGACGTATCTTTTACAATATCTAATAAAATAATATTAATTATCTAATGAATACATACTAAATTAATTGATCACTTTTTCTAATTTCCTTATCGCGTGCATCAAGTGCTTCAAATCTCTCAATTGCACTTTGACCTTTCCTTGGATCAGCTAATGGCGGGACACGAACAGCTGGAGTAGCCTTCCTCTCCACACTAGAAGAAGCCTTGACTCCATCTACAAACAAACATATAAATAAATTTAAAAAATATTCAAAATTTAAATCACACTACCGGTAGATTTTTCAGGTTGATAAATGGAGCGTAGGTAGTACTTATGCTTTGGTACACGAGCTATGGTGTCCATTTTAAATTCATCGTCTGGCAAAGGTTCTTCGGATAAGACGCTGTCCTTGCCTTCTGGTACTCCTTCGTCCAAACCCTCGTCTTCTCTCTCCTCCTCTTGGTTGTATTCAACATCAAATAAAGTAGGAACATATTCCTGTTCCTGTTCTTCATGACTGTAATGTATACGCTGGAGAAAAGACATGAAAAAATTCATATATATGAATCGTGTGTGTGTGTGCATCAGTTTTAGTGAATTTAGCAAGTGACACACTGCATTTAAAGCACTAACACATGTACAATGTACATTAATAGTGTCATTAACTATAAAAGTGCTAGAATTATTACATGCCATATGTGTACCACATCAAACTGATCATAAATTAAAAAAATTTTTAAACTCACTTTTCTTGTTGTTCCAGCAGCCGTTAATGACGGCATTTGTGCTCCCCCTTCTCCTCTTTTAGCTGGCGATAGGGTCGGCCTCTGGTGAGGTGAAGAAGAAGGTGATGGCTGTGCACTGAAAGACTGAAGTCCATGTGAGACTGGAGCACCACCAGAACCACTAGGACCCTTAGTCTTATCGGAGAACCAAAATATGGAAAGAGGAGGAGCATTGTCAGAGAGGTACTTCCCGTGGGACTTTGCTAAAATGGCTCCTCTCTATATCAAGATAGAGGTAGTGAAAGACATATTACAATGTGCATAATGTACTTGAGTTGTAAAGTGAATGTCGGCAAATTTCTTTTCCGGATGACAATTGATCTCTCTTAGAGGACCAAACTTTTCAAAATGGCGCCAGAGAAACTCTTTATTGTTAAAATGATGAGGAACACCTTTCAAATGAAGGGAGTGAGAGGAGGCGGGGCCAGGGTGAGAGTAGGAGGGGCCAGGATTAGACGAGGCAGAGGCAGAATAAGCCTGTACAAAAGGATTAACGTTTGGCTTGTTCATTGTTGATTTCACGGCTCCAGCATAGGACAACGGTCGATTGGTCATTACCACACCTTCAGGAGTGCCGCTTTGATCTTCTTTCGCAGTATCATCAGAAGCAGCTGCAGCTTGTTGCTCAAAAAAGACATTTTTATGAGAAGAGGAGGAGGAGGAGGAGGAAACTGGAGCTATTGTCTGAAGAGCAGCAAGGAAAGGATTGGCACCAGGAGCAGCTTCAGTCTTGGAACTTTGCTTTGAGGAGGAGGAGGAGCCTAACAGAGACGATTAACATAGTGTACATGCATTTAATTAATCAACAATAAATACAGGAGTTACAAAATTTCGGCATTCAATAAAATGCTTTATTGCCCCTCACTTAATGTTCTAGTTCTTCCAGTTTGTGAGAGTCTCCTAATAGCTTGCTTCTGTTTAAGATATAAATACAAGCATATTGTCAACAAGTAGCAGGATAATTACCTTCTTTTGGGCTAGTGTCTTTTGTGTCTTGTACGTATACATAATGACGATCCCTACAATAGAGTCTCTTAATGATAAAACCTTCCATAAAGTCTTTACCTCAAGTTTTCACCATGTTAATGTTAAGCTTTTATAGTTGGAAAGGGGTTAAAAATTTCTACCCACGTGCGCTTTTAAGGAAACTTGATAAAAATGGCAGAAAAAGACCAGTTTTTACAGCTGGAGGTTTTAAGCAGCACTCCAATGACCTATGAAGAGGTTAGGAAGACTCTGGGGGAGTTTATGAATAAAAATCACGTGATCAACGGCGTATCTCAGGACACTATGGAGCGGCTCAGGGGACTTCACTCAGAGCTATCAGCCCCGCCCACAATCCCTCCACCCACGCATTCAGAACCAAGTACAGAAAAGAAAAAATTAAAAAAGAAAAAGAAACACAAGAGAGAGGAGACAGCGTTAGACTTTAGCTAGTAGTTTGAGTCGTCTCAATACAGCAATGAAGGTTTCAACTGGTTGGGCTCCTGAGAAAGACTGACGTACTCCGCTGGGCGAGTTTGAAAGGTACAGCTCAAAATTTGGTACTCCACTAATACCTAAAAATAGAAAAACAATATAAATGATCCTATCTTTCCTTTCCCCCCCCCCCTCTTATCTCAGATTTTATCTTTTTTGCTTTTCTCTTCCTATCTCTCCCTTTCTCTTTTTATTGTTTATACCTTTTACCTTTTTCTTCCCTCTCTCTCTCTGTTGTTTATAGTTGTACCTTTTCTTTTATTTTCAATCATTTCTTCTTCGTAATGTTTGATATACTCCGGGTCGCTTAGCTTGCTGAGTCCCTCATCTTTGTTTAGTCCAACACTTTCAAGCAAGTCTCCCAATACAAGATGATCACTTATATCATATCCATCAGTATAATATGCCCTGAATTAAAACAGCAATTTAATTGAGCAATGAACGCACATTGCAAAGAAATAAATAAGACTAAAGGATGTAAAGAGCTTTAAATATGTACAGTGATTATTATTCTGCAGCTACATGTAGTTTTTATGATCAAATAATGTGTGTGGCTTTATACATGATGTGATTCTTTCCCTTACCCAAACAGTTTCTCTTTGAGCTGGTGCTGTTTGCCTTCTCTGTGTGCATACTCTAATAATATGTGAGCCTTCTTTGTAGGGACTACTCTAGTATTGTTCGTATAATTGAATTTCAGACCCTAAACAACATTAACAATGCAGTACATGTACTTCATAATGATCATCATACCACGGCTTTCCCTTTCTCAAAGAAAGGAACTTGTCCTGATGTGAATCTCTTCAGTCCATCCTCGCCAAATTTAGTGATTGCAAATTCCTTAAAGTTCATTCCTTCCTCTGGTAGCCATGGGTTAAGGTTGAAAGGTCTCCAGCGTACATGGACATTAAACTCGTCTTTCACTTGCTCCAGAGCAATGTCCAGGTGGCGTTTACCTACCCAGCACCTAATGCAATAAATGAAAGTGATAATTAGTGATGTTTGAGTCTTACCATGGGCAGACCACGTCTGATGTTACCTCCACTGTTACTTCTACTGGTTTTGTTGACATTTTTTGCTCAATGTAAAGTACACGGTGTTATCAGGATATATCACACGGGATCTATTTAAAGTATACGGGATTTAGTTTTAAGACTACGGTTCATTAGCAAATCTGGAAGTGACGTCATCATTGATAGCATATGCGGAGTTATGCAAGTTTAGAATCAGTATACGGATTCAAAATGGGTCTTTGCCTGAGAATCATTTTAACTTATGTTCGTCTTGGAGTGATAGGAGGTCTCCATCTTATCTTTGCTGCTACAGTCATCTCTCGTGTACTAGACGATTCCTCTAACCTCTCTTGGGCGGCAGTTTTCTCTCCTCTGTTTCTTTTCGACGCCATTTCTATAGTCTACCTCGTCATATACATTGCTGGGCTGGTCAGAGACATTGTAGATGGAGACTCTAGGCCAAGCAATACTTCCTGCTTCCCTCACCAACGGGCAGGACCATTGCCTCCTATTATATACGGTCTGGCCCTTTTCTTTAAAGTGATAGGAGAAATTCTACTGGTCACATTTCTCTCTGTTAAGTCACCTCCATTCTATGTGTCAGCCATATTCTTCATGTTGATGCTCTTGGTCACTACTGCTGGGTTGTTGGTCTACAGCGTCAAGCCGTCTTTTAAAACTTTCCTACATTTAGACTGATTTATAATAATCACTTGTTGTACCCAACTATAATTATAATAATTATATATCATATGGAATTATTACTAATAAAATATTGCTATTATCATTTTTTTTATTTTCAAAAATCTATGCAGTTACCTACATATAAAAATAAATAATGATGATTTGTAATTATTAAAACACACAACACAACATTATTGATCACATACTACAGTACTTTGATGCACAGTTTAGTTACGAATAACTACATCTCATTCATTTTAAGGATATTTCTCTTTATATTCTCTTACTAAGACACTCAATTTTTCTATCAATTCCTCTTTTTCGTCGGCCGGTAAAAAAGAGGAACGAGCACTATCAAACATAGCCTGAATCACTTCGTCCCTTTTCAAACCAAATGTCGTCATGCCAACCTTGCATTCATTGGTCAGCGAGGTTCCTATGATACCAGAGTCGTCAGTATTTAGACCAAAATTAATGCTATCTTTAACAAATCTAGAAAAATAACAGAAATAATATAATTAGAATTACAGCGGATTTACAATATAATGCTAGTCTTGACGTTATGCTGACGCAGACGTTGAATCTGGTTCAACTCTAGCGTAAGCCATGCATGAAAAGGTCAAATCGCCTAGGCTTTTGATTAAAAATTGATGTTACGTTGGCCCAGCGTAATATTGTAAATCCACCTTTAGATACACTAATGTACTACATGTACCTCTTGACACTGTGGCTCTCATACTCCATCGATTTGGTGTATATGCTTGACGTTAGACAAACCTTTATATGGGCTAAAAGATGAGTCTTTGTAAATTTGTACTAACCTCAAAATGAATACTTTTGTTTTTTGCCAGTAAATACACACTATCATCATCAACCACATGATATCCATGGCCGATGCGCTCTGCACTTAGGACATCTATGGCTTGTCGGACGTTTTCAGCAGGTCCACTCTCACCAGCGTGTGCAGTGATATGGAGACCAGCCTCCTTAGCTTTCTATAAGTAACAAGAAAGATATCAATATGAATCTCAAGGGTATTGTTATTTTAAGTTGTGTATACTACACTCAGTTGAGGAAGATATCACAAAGTAATACTCAGTGGGCTATTGTTGTCTTTTCTTACTATGAAAGACGGTATATGTTGATCCATTGGTTGTAGTTCGTCTCCAGCAACATCAACGCCTACTACACCTTTATCTTTGTACTTTATAGCCAAATCAACCAAAGCAGGGCTCCATTCTACAGAGATAAACACACTGTGGCATAACAAAGTAGCTTCAATTACCAGGAAAGGATTTTAAAAAACAGATAATGGTACGGATTTTAACTCCATATCGCTTCTCTCCTTTAGAAAATCCCACCAGAACAGATTGCAATACTTCCTCAATGTTTAATCCTCTCTCAGTAAAGAGGAATGGACACAAACGAGACTCTGTATATATGACACTGTTTCTCTTCTGGTCTTCACAAAACTCTATTGCTTGTCGTTCAAGATTCTCGGCAGTACTACATGAAAGAATCATCATTATTAATTACAAAATATAAAAATTGTCATTATAATCCCAAAGTGATGACTGTATACAATAGGCATTTAATAGCCACAAATATGCTAATAAGTAATCACGATAATAGAGTATATATCAGTTATATTATATAGTACCTCAATATGTAGCAAACATTAGGAAATGGTTTTAAAAACTCGACAAGACTTTCCTGAGGTTCAGTCAACGACACGACCTTTCTAAAAGCCTCAGTGTCATGATACGGAAACCTCTCAGCGTCTAGATCATCCTTCCTAAAAAAACAATTAAAATAGGACAAGCTATTCTATCACAAATAAAATTCAAAACCACATATAGGCTATATTATAAATAGAGATCTATGAATTGTAAATAGCAACAGATCTACTTTCTATTTCTACCTGCACATATCCATTAAAGTTTTAAGCCTACAAGCTCCATCAAGATGATTGTGTAGCTCAACCTACAGACCGAAAATAACTAGGCCACTCATAGAAACTTGACTCACTTTAGGGAGAGATTTGTATATCTCCTGATGATGCTCTTTCTCCATGTTTTTGTTAACCTAAAATAAACACACCACTCCTCCAAAGAAATTTGCTTATATAAGGTTGCTAGATCAGTATTCCACACATAGCATCATGATACAGTCGTGATCTATACTACATTGCATGCATGCATAATACACTATAAAGGAATGGTCACTTCACATAGGAAGGTATCCTTATATAGATCTACGTGTAAGTTCATTTTTAATACCAGGAGAAAGAAGAAAGGTATTTATTTTGCTATAAGATTGTATTTGCCAGTAAAGAGATGGTGAAAGATAGAGCATTATAGTTTAATATCAATGAATTATGTTAGTCATAAGTTATACTAGACCAGAGAGGCTTCTCTTAAGTGATAGTGAAGTGACACAAAGGACAAGTAGCAAGGAGACACGAGAGATCTGTACGAGTGTAATGCTTGCAATGTGGACATAACCAGCATGAATCAGACTCAGTAATGGAGCCTGACCCCATGCATATCACAAGATTGGAGTTACAGCCTGGGCAAGGAGTAACCCTATAAAGAGAGAGAGAGAAAGTACAGAGAAGTTATAAATGAAATAATCAGTAGTAATTAGTTTATAACTAACTTACCACTCATATAAACTGGTGTCACATGTAGGACAGGAAAGAGGCGTAGTTTTACTGCGTGGTGGATGCTGTCTGAATATCTCAACTCCCAACTCTTCATACATTTCTAATTGACTGCTTGAGAGAGATGGAGAACACTCCAACTTCATTAGGGCCTATAATAGGAAATTATTATGTGTTTGTGCAAAATTTAACTAAAACAAGACACAGAGAGCAACAACCTTTCTTTGCACTGTCAAAGATTAAACTATCATTACATATACATGCAGAAAATTGATTCTTTACTTGTGAAGCAACAGAGTATGCTTGACATGCACAACCAGTTAAAGCAACAAGACTGTACATCTCAACTGCTGAAAGTACATCACTGTAACTCTGCACAATCATTGCCTACAAACACAAAACATTGTACTATTAATAAAAAACAAAACAGGTTTATTCTTCATCATTAATTTTGTAAAAAATCATTTTAAAACTTTGCAAAATATCAGTCTCAAACACTCAATGAAGAAGAAACCAAACTAATGATAATTGCAAAGTGACATGCAGTAGCATAGTCTGACAGTTAAATTAAAATAAGAGACAATTTTATAATCCAATAATCAAGTGCTGCTGCAGTGCCTACAGCTAAGGTAAGTCATTGTGGAGCTTCAGGTACAGACTTTAAGTGTCACGTTTCAAATTAGCATCAACCAAAAGATGAGAGTATAAAAGGGAGAGACTGTCACTGGTTTAGTGCATGCCTGACTTTAAGAGAGACTCTCCCTCCACAAAGGAAGGTATATACTTTATACTTTAATAGAAAAGAAACAAGAAAGAATCATGAAGACTATTGCCTCACTGATCTGTCTGGTTACTTACTTAACCTGTACATGTGCCATGAGGTATGTAATGCAATTAGACATATATCATTATTGATTTATGTCCTAGGGAATGGCCCATTGCAATAGATATGGCTTGTAGCAAGGCTCTGTCTGTTGTTGCTTGTACCTTTGAGTTTACCAACATGGCAGCAGAGGATTACTATATCCTCACCAGTGATTCTCCTCTTGAAGGACTCTACTCTCCATTTGTTGCTGTCTATCATAATGGTCGTCATGTACAATATGAAGGACTCATTGGATTCCGTCTCCCTCCAAGGAAACAAGACTTTCAACTCATTAAAGCTGGTCAAGTTATCTCTGCAACAGTTCAAATATCTGATGCATTCACCTTTGGCTCTGATGGTCTCTATACCATAAGATACAACAAGCCACTCAAGTTTATAACAGGGAAAGAAATGGAATATGAAGCATATGTATCTGGTATCACTAGCAGGATAGAACGAGTGAGAGTATCAGAAGTGAGGGAATCTGTCTATATAGACCTGATGGACACACACCTCCTCACTCGTCCAGTAAGGATGGAAGCAGTACTGTCAGCACAAAAACCAGACCATATAGTACACATTGATAGCTGTGGGAGTGCTCAGTATATTGGAGGGACTAGCCAGCAACAGAGTGACACTACTAAAGCTCATAAGCTCCTTTGTGACAAACTACAAAAAGCATATGATGCTGTAGGTAACAATGACCTGTACAAGACATGGTTTGGGATCTACGATGGAGGACGTGCAACTACAGTCAAGAGCATATATAAGAAAAGCAAAGATGGGCTGACAAATACTGACGTGACATATGACTTTAAAAATGGACTGGACATTTGCAAGGCGCGTAACTGGCGGGCCTTTACTTACGATGATTCCAAAACAGTCTGGCTTTGTGGACCCTATGGATATGATTCAATAACTACTTATTGCACAACAAACGGAGCCTACAGCAAAGAGCATGTACTAGCTCACGAGTGGAGTCATGCCTTTGGTCATACTAATGATTATGCTGATGGATATGGAGCTGAAAACTGTAAAAATTTGGCAAAAAAGAATCCCCCAACAGAAGCAATTGATAATGCTGATAATTATGCTTTTTATTATTGCTATAATGGAGCTACTTCTTTTGAATTTGACTTTTAGCTAGTTTGCCATCACAATTTTAGGACTTTAGTTTAAATCTTTCACAATTCTTAGATTCATTTATAGATTTTTTTTGGAATTTTTTGATTTAGTATATTTTCACAGTTTTAGGTTCATTTACAGGTTTTTGGAATTTTTTGATTTAGTATATTTTCTAGACTCACTTTTTTCAAATAATAAATATATCAATAACAATTAAAGCAGAGCTATTGCAAGCAATTATTCACAAACAGCAGTCCTACTCCAAATAAGCAAATGAAAAACATGCAAATATCTTCTCAATTTGCAAATAGCAATCTCAAACTTACAATAAAAGAATAAAAAAAAACTAAAATAATTAAAAAGCAAAAAGGAGGAGGGTATTCCGACAAAAAAAAACAGTTTCATAATTCAATAATCAAGTTCCGGTCCAGTGCATACAGCTAAGGTAAGAGTCATTGTAGAGCTTCAGGTACAGACATCACGTGTCAAGTTTATTGGAGGTAATTATTATAATTATGTTATATATTAGCATAAATGAATAAATGAATGCATAAAAGGAAGAGACTGTCACTGATTTAGTGCATGCCTGGCCATAGAGTGACTGTCCGTTAGGAAAGTATATTTTATACTTTAAGAAGAGAAAGAAGAAAGGATCATGAAGACTATTGCCTCTCTGATCTGTCTGGTTACTTACTTAACCAGTACATGTGCCATGAGGTATGTAATATCATTGATATATATTTCTATACAGTCCTAGGGAATGGCCCATTGCAATAGACATGGCTTGTAACAAGGCTCTGTCTGTTGTTGCTTGTACCTTTGAGTTTACCAACATGGCAGCAGAGGATTACTATATCCTCACCAGTGATTCTCCTCTTGAAGGACTCTATTCTCCATTTGTTGCTGTCTATCATAATGGTCGTCGTGTCCAATACGAAGGACTCATTGGGTTTCGTCTCCCTCCAAGGAAACAAGACTTTCAATTCATTAAAGCTGGTCAAGTTATCTCTGCTACAGTTCAAATATCTGATGCATTCACTTTTGGCTCTGATGGTCTTTATATCATAAAATACAACAAGCCACTCAAGTTTATAACTAGAGAGGAAATGGAATATGAAGCATATGTAGCTAGCAGAATAAAACGAGTGAGAGTATCAGAAGTAAGGGAGTCTGTCTATATAAACCTGATGGACACACACCTCATAACTCGTCCAGTAAGGATGGAAGCAGTACTGTCAGCACAGGAACCAGACCATATAGTACACATTGATAGCTGTGGGAGTGCTCAGTATATTGGAGGGACTAGCCAGCAACAGAGTGACACTACTGATGCTCACAAGCTCCTTTGTGACAAACTACAAAAAGCATATGATGCTGTAGGTAACAATGACCTGTACAAGACATGGTTTGGGATCTACAATGGAGGACGTGCAGCTACAGTCAAGAGCATATATAAGAAATGTAAAGATGGGCTGACAAATAATGACGTGACATACGACTTTAAAAATGGACTGGAAACTTGCGAGGGACGTAACTGGATTGCCTATACTAAGCTTGGAACAAGAACAGTTTATTTATGCGGACCATATGGATATGACAAAGCACCAATAGGCTGCACTACCAGGAGTATCAGCAAAGAGGACACACTAGTACACGAGTGGAGTCATGCCTTTGGTTACACTGATGATATAAAGTATGGAACTAGTGATTGTCAAAAACTAGCAAAAGACGATCCCAGCAAAGCAATCCACAATGCTGATAACTATTCTTATTACTACTGCCGTGTAGCAAGATAGTAATGGGCTGGGTATCAGTGTCAGTAGCACTGTAGGACTTTAAAAGTACTTTAAGTTTAAATGAACGAGCTCTATTTAGCCTATACTCTTTTTATAATAAATATAATATTATTAATCATATATTGTCATGCCATAAAAAGTACATGTACATGTATCATTAAAATAAGAGCAGCATATAAACTACTACGATGTAAACCACACCCATTAATTACATATGTTGCCCCGACAACATAAAACATACTGCACGCCCACTTTTCATTGAAAGTACAGTAATAAATATTATTATCCACTTACTGTCTTGAGACTGCTCTCAGTGTCTTTAGAATAGAATTGTTTCTGTGACAGTACAAATAAGTGATAGGCTTCAGCTCCACGCCATCCTTTATCAAGCAATGCAGTATCTCCTAGGGTGTCCTCTACCAGGAGTCCTTGTATCGTTGAACTAAGGCCCTGGGAATTGAGAAATGGCTTTAGCAAGGTGTCTCTCTCTTTTGCTTACTGAGCTGTTGGTTTGTTTTTTCCTTGGTGCACTAGTCTTGATACTAGATCGATACTCTTCAACCTAAAAATAATGATAATAGTGATAATTGCTATTCTAACTCATCATTGTAAATTATTAGTTAAAAAAATATTAACTGTATGGCAGCCAATACAATTTTTTGGAAAATAAATTTTTCCTGGCAAATTTCCCACGAAAAAAATTAAATTAAATATTTCCCTGTAAAATTATTTTTTTCCGGCATATTTCCTGAGGAAAAAATTAAAATAAATATTTCCCAGTAAAATTAATTTTTACCGGCAAATTTCCCAGGAAAAAAATTAAATTAATAATTTTCCAGTAAAATTAATTCTTCCTAAAAAATTTCCCAGGAAAAAAAATTTTTTTAAAGCTTTTTAAGAAACAATTTAAATTAATAATTTTCCTGGCAAATTTTCCAGGATAAATTTAAACTAATAATAAAAGACAACTGGAAGTGAATGTAAATTTTATCTACTCTTGATTTTACTTGTGTCTGATGATTTTTAACCTTAAGGTGAGTTATGAATATTGTACAATTTTTTAAAAAGAGAGGTTTTTTAAAAAATGGCTCAAAAATCACCCCATATTTTTATTACATTTTCTAATAACAATTAATTTTCTTGGACTATGTAAAAAATTAAGCTGATTCCAAGCTCAAATTTAAAAATGGCTCCGAAATCACCCAAAATTTTATTAAATTTTCTGATACACATTGATGTCCTTGTGCTATGTAGAAATTCTAACAAACAATTTCCAAGTTATGAGCATTTTAAAAACTAAGTCAATTGGTTCTAAATTGAGAAAAATGGCTCTAAAATCCCACCTGATACAGTAGATACACATTCAAGATGATTAATATCTGCCTTTAACTATCTCATTTATGTTGTTGTTACCAAATTTCTGCTGACACTACAAAGTATACACAGTAGATGCAGATTCAGCAACTCATGATTGATAATAGGTACTACCAGTGCCAGGTAAGGCTACACAAACCACAGTCAGAAACCACTGACATTAACAAGCATGGCTTCAGCCATTTAGCAACTATTTTGAATAAAAATTAGCAACTAGATCCTTTAAAAGATCACACTGTAACAATATTTAACAGAAAGTGGATGCTACCATTGACCTAATGTACATAAACAATTATTATGAATTTACATGTATACAAAATAATAATTAATAATAATAATAATAATAATAATAATATTCAAATTTTAAATTCTATTATTTACGAACCATTAGAGCAGAAAGAACATACATCTTCTTAATTTTCAACGGACTCAGCTTTCCCTGTCCTCCAGCAAGCTTTGCTACCTATAAAAAGAAAAAAAAACAATAACAACAACAACAATAACAACAACATACATGTATGTACATGTATCAATAAAGGAAGGTATATCATGAAACCAAGCAAGGTGCATGTAAGCTTACAGCCAAATTAGGAGTACAAAACTGTGAGATATTATTGACCATAATTATATCTCTTAAAACTACAATTATTGTTTGCAACTAAAATGAGGTAATTTCTGTCAAATAGCCAAGCCCTAGAAGGGAATGGAGGCTAGGAAATTATGGAGAAATATCCATAAGTGCTTCCTACGGGAGGTAGATTGTACAAATGTAATCAATGATGAGTAAAGCTTATACAATAACTATTGTACTATAATCACACCTTATTACATGTACATGGAAATGTAGTAATTATCTGATGTGTGTGTGTGTGTGAGTGCAAATATACATTATAGTTATTTTTGAAACATCTAATTGAGTGGGATATACATTTAGCGCTACAGGACCAGCAAAAGCATCATTAAAAGCATCATTAATGATGTATAGCGTACAGTGTAGCCTCCATTATGAGGACACCTTTATAATAAGGACACCTTTATAATGGTATTTGTAATCTCCTAACTGCTACAAGCCTATACAGAAGTACCTCTGAGATAAGGCACTTCTATATTAAGGACAGCCACGTGTAGTGTGGACCCAATGGTGTCCTTACTAAAGAGGCTACACTGTGGAGCGTAGTGAGCATGCATCACGCATGACTTGAATTCGAGAACAAAGAGAAATGGGAGGCTTCTGATTATACACATACATCATTTATAAGTTTAGCAGCTTCGAGGAAATATCCTGCTTTCCTATACAACTCAATTGCCGGTATGATCTGTCCTCCATCCAATAGCTCTTTGACTGCATTCCTAAGCAATTGTGTGACGTCTTTGAGCCCATGCTCCTTAGACAATTGTATAGCTTTATCCCACTATAGGAAAAATAGGGGAACATATGAAAAAGGAAGGGGAGTAAATGTAGAGGAAAAGTTAATTGTACGTGTGTATATGTACATGTATATACTGGCACTATACTCTTGTGTTGGTTTACCTGATTCAAATCAACGCAGCAATTTAATGCAGCTGTTGCATTCCCTGACTATAATGATAAGAAAAAATAAAACCAATTTCACACGCTCTCTCTCTCTCTTTTCTCTCTCTCTCTCTCTCTCTCTCTCTCTCTCTCTCTCTCTCTCTCTCTCTCTCTCTCTCCCTCTCTCTCTCTCCCTCTCTCTCCCTCACTTTAAGATAAGCAGAGACTGCTGGTATGCACATACCCATGTTATAAAACTTGAGAGCCAAGTCCTATTATAATATTAGAATAATATCAATTATTAGTTACTAGAGGGAAACCACAACTATTACAATGAGTGTGCAGGAGTGCATGTCAAGGGTATTCTGAAGCGAGTAACTAAAACTACAGGAAATTCCTGACATTCACAACCGCTGAGATAATGAGTAACTGACACTACAACTCTCCATTTATAGTATTAGTACTACTACTCATCATGACATTATTACAGACACACACAATGGACTAATTATGATAACAACGAAGTATCAGAATATCTAACAAGAGGGAGAGAGAGAGAGAGAGAGAGAGAGAGAGAGGCAGGGAGAGAGAGAACAAGTTCAACTGAGGTGAATCAAAGTTATTAATGTATAATAGTACATGTATCCATTCCATCTCTTGCAGCTCATACAGAAATGATTAAACAGAGAGCAAGATTCTTCAACTTCACAAAATGAAAATTTTATAAACACAAAATTAGGAAAGCACACAGAGACGATGGATGCAGTTTTCACATAATAAAAATAAAATAAAAAGTCATAAAAGATGCAAGTTTGACCCAAAAGGAAGAAACCAGCTATCCCTTGAGAAGTGTGCATGTACATGTACATATGTGTCTCTGTTTGTGTGTGGTAATTCATTATAAAGTACATATGTATACATGCATACATGTACTTGCGTGTGTGTGTGTGTGTGTGTGTGTGCGTGAAATCACTACAGAGGTATCCACTACAAAGAGAGAGTCACTCCCTAGCAGTAGGTATGTCCATGAGTGAGTTTACTATCACAACAGTGAGGGGAGCAGACAGAGGAGGAGTACCAAGGACTATCAATTAGAGCATGTCAGCAGGTTTCATAGAGACCACACAGAGCACTGTATAGTCTCTATTTATAATGAGGATACCTTTATAATGCTCTTACATGTAGAATAAGGACACATTTATAAAGAGGATATTGTGGTACAAAAGTACATGTACTTCTAAAATGAGTAGACACTTTTGTATTAAGGACAGGTAGTGTGGGCCCAATGGTGTCCTTAATAAAGAGGCTACACTGTACATGCACTAAGGACAGGTAGTGTGGGCCCAATAGTGTCCTTAATAAAGAGGCTACACTGTACATGTATTAAGGACAGGTAGTGTGGGCCCAATAGTGTCCTTAATAAGGAGGCTACATTGTATGATTTGTATGACAAAGGATTTCAATGACTTAAGATTTACATGAATTTAGTAGGTAAAGTTGGGTGTGTGCTATAAGTATGCAATATTGTAAATGATGTTATGACAATTAATGTAGAGCCACTTATACCTATATATACAGTGAGGAGACTCATTGTCTCCCTCTGCCAAGGAATGAGGAATTAGTGTCATAATGAACACAGTGTACAGAGTGACTGTATCATTATTATGTTAATGTTCATGTGAATGTGAATATTCACTCTCTTCCTTCCTAAGCTACATTCTCTTACTATCTCCCTCTTCCTCTCTCTCTCTTTATAAGGAAAATGCACATGCATTGATAATAGAGTTTAGAATTTTTCATCCTAAAGTCTATTTTAGCTACACATAAACAATCTATTATAGAATATAAAATGACTCTCAAATACATGTAGCCTTCATATAATGGACACTTTGGTACAGGAGAGTCTGTCTACTATACAGAGGTATATCCTTTATAGTAAGTAATCCAATCGGTATACTAGGTGCTGTCTATTAAATGGATGTGTATTGTGTACACTATAAAGAGTGTCCGTTAAGAGAGGCTATACTATACTCAATAATATCAGAGAGTACATACATGTACATGTACACATTGCAGGTAAATGAGTAAACCATTGTTATTAGTATTACACAATAATAGCAATTATTGGCTAGCCTTTATGTCCATTACTTCTAGCGAATACATGAAATTACTGATAATAAATAGAACTCACTGACAAAGATACAAAGGGCTAGGAATCCAAGGAATTTACAATGAAGCACACGTACGTGTACCAATTAACAACAGGCCACATATAGAGTATTCAGCTCTTAATTGTGTGTGTAGCAAACTAGCAATTTTGGCATCTTTGAAGCATTACGAGCTAATTTTAGTGTTTTTCTCTAATATAACGACACAATTAATTTATGTGTCATTTTAACGTAACGTTTTAAAAGATCCTTTAATAAACTTTAAAAAATCATAACCAGTATATGCACTTAGTGTACATAAAATCGTACATGCAAGCATGCTTACTGGTAATAAAGGATGGTTGACTGGTAGGGTATCTGCTAGTGATTCCAGTGAATCAAACTTCTCCAGTATAAAGAAGGCTTTAGCCATTAGCTCTGTGTTGCTAGCCTGAGTGTAATACCCCAAAGCATGTTCCCTTAAAGAAAAGCGAGAGTTTATAAAATAAAGATAAGAAATACAAACTGTTGATGTATTAGTATTTAAAAGGAGAGAGAGGGGGAGTGTAAAAATTATATGTAAACATGTACATGTACATGTACATGTACATGTATGTACTCACCACATATCTCTCTCTGCATAATAGTCACCAATGGAATTCCATGCTTGAGCCATTTGTACATCAGTAGCTATACGCAAATACAAGCACATGATCATGAATCAATAATGAATCAATAATGAATCAATCATGAATCAATCATGAATCAATGAAGTAAAGTTGATCACAAAATGACTATACTATAGTATGCGTTATTCTTTTACCTAAAGATCCATCAGACTTCAGTAACTGCAGCACACGAAACCAGTGACCTAACTTTACTCTTAGCTCAATTGCAAGGTCCCTACACAATACAATACATGTACAGTGTAGAAGGATACCTTTATAATTAGGACACTTTTATGATAAGGGAATTTTGTAACGTCCTAATTAGTATAAACCCATACAAAAGTACATGTACCTCTGAAATGAGGACACCTCAGTATTAAGGAGAGGTAGTGTGGGCTCAAAGGTATCCTTAATAAAGGAGGCTAGAGTGCCATTGCATTAATAATAATAATACATTGTTTTGTATTAATATACATGTACATGTATAATGTTAATTATGTTAATATTATGGTGATACATTATAATTCCTACTTGTAAGGGGATGTGGGTGTGAAATATAGGCGCTGTGTATGTGTATGAAATGGATGAGTAAGCAATGATTGGATTAATTGTTATTATTATCATTATGTTAATTAATGAAGTATTACATAATAGGAGGGAGGGAGAGAGAGGGGGAGGGAGAGAGAGGGAGAGAGAGAGAGGGGAGAGAGAGAGAAAGGGGAGAGAAATACTGCCTTTACTTTCTGTCCATTTGTATATACAATCTTTCTGCCTCATCAAAATCATCATAATATGCTGCTACTTCAGCTCTCACGATCTCCTTTGACTATAAATAGAGATAACAATGAACTAAAAAAGGTATAAACAGGCTCAAACAATAACAAGTTGTTGTTGTGACGAATCTAACCACACACACACACTCACACTGCAAATAATAAAATCATCATTCCTAATAAGGGCAATACTAATATTAGATGGCAAATCTCTTAGTGATATCATGCATACGTGTACATGTATATGTACATACACAATTATCGCATTTGGTAATTCTGTTATGATACAAACGTATAATTATTTTTATATGTACATGTGTGTACATGTACATGGTGATCTGGTATACGCGCATGTACAATTGTACATGAATTATAGTGTTTCACTTATTGTTACACAATTGACAACTCATTCTGTGCTATAAGCATGTATATGTACATGTACATGTACATGTAATATTGGGGTAGGGATTTCACTCTCAGTTCTCCTCTGTCAAAATAAAAGTGCTACATGGTATAGAGCAGCAATTACTGTTAGTTTCTGAAGCCTTTTCACAAACTGAATCCCCTGATAGTCAGAGCAGCACACAAAAGCTTTTCGTGCTATTTCAAAATTGAAAGACTTCAGAGCCGACTCAGCCAATAACTGCCTGAAAACAAAAAATTAAAAAAATAGTAACACGTCGTACCTAAGCATACGCACACACACACACTATGATAATATCAATTCCCAATTACTAGTGCTATCTCTCCTAACACTACTGACATTACAACAGACACCATTCATATCACATCTGTTACATAAGCATTACTATACCACAGTGTCTCAATTGGATACTATACTAATGAAAAGATATAGTTTTATTTCATAGTAATCTTGGAGGGATAGCATGCATGCAGCTGCTATTGGTGATATTTATACCATAGCCTTGGGTGAGGGTTGTCATTAATGAATTGAAATGTGTCATCGAATCCAACTTTTTCCAATAACTGCCTTGTATCTCTCAGTGACTACAATGAGAGAAAGAGGGGGAGAGAGAGAGAGAGAGAGAGAGAGGTGCAGTCACATATAAAAACTGAAAGACATACCTTCACATCAAGATTAACAACTAGCTCAGCAACTGGAGTGTCTGGAGTCTAAAATGTACACAACAAAAAGGAGTTCTTTCAATATACACGAGACAATATGCAATACACAAACATATACTGTACATGTACATACATTACACATACAGGAGATGTATTTTATACATGTACATACTTTCATTAGTTCATCTAGCAGGACTGCCTTAACTTGAAGATTAGAGAATGAGCATATGCTGGCTGAACTAATAACAGGCTCCTATACAACATTATTCATTCATTTATTCATCCTTATTTATTAGAGTAAAAGCTCCTTACCTCAGGATCAAGGCCTCTGAATATGTACATCCTGGTCTTCTCCATGATGGCAAAGAGGTCAGGATTATCATCAGCCCATTTCACACCCCATACCTCCTTCCTCTCCAGGGCCAGCTTGGATCCATCACTCTTAACAGAGACACATTAACAATAACAATATTGTATACTTTAGTCTTGTACATGTACATGCATAGCATACCTCCAAATTTCCAAACATTACTTTTAATAATTACAAAGCACCTTATATAATCACAAAATTCAAAATCATATTAATAGACTATGAAAAATATGAAGCTACATGTACATGTATGAAGAATAGTCTTAATTTTCCGACCTCTCCCTTCTCCCTCTCTCTGTCTCTGTCACTCTCCTCTCTCCCTCTCTCTCTCTCCCTCTCTCCTCTCTCCCCCCCTCTCTCTCTCCCTCCCTCTCTCTCCCTCTCTCCTCTCTCCCCCCTCTCTCTCTCCCTCCCTCTCTCTCTCTCTCCTCTCTCCCCCCCTCTCTCTCTCCCTCCCTCTCTCTCTCCTCTCTCTTACCATGTGGTAAAGGCTAAACATTCCACCATTGTCCACTACAGAGAGCATGGTAGAGTCCATATTGAGCCCAAGATGAACTGGCTGACACTGGACAGCAAAAGTCATCACGAGTGACAGCTGAGGCAGCGTGTACGTGTGAATGGACCCTGACATTCTACCCTAAAATAAAATAAATAATAAAATGTGAGAAAGAGCAGAGAGGGAGAGGGAGAGAATAAAGGTATACAGTAATTCAAGTACATACATGTACGTGTACACGTACACAAAAAGAGATTAACCCTATCTGTTACCTATCTATTACAGTCAATTAACAAGATATGCAACACTCCCAGTACTTTTAGTAATTCAACGCCACCTCAGGCATACATGTATACATGTACACATACATGTACATGTACATGTACTTATAAATATAGATATACTTATAAATATAAATATAGTACATGTATATAGCTATTAGCTAAGCCTTACAAACAAAGTCAATACGATCAATACATGTACAGTGGGTGCATGTTGATACAAATTACATTTTAAAAGCATGTGATAATGTTTCACATGGTAAACATCACCTCAGAGACTAATTAGTTTATAAGGTAGAGTTTCAGTGCTGTATATAGCGCTGGAGATTACATTTTTGATAATAAACATTATTGCAACATTAATTATAGCACTACGATTGTGACATGCCAAATTCCTAATTATGACATTTTTTAAAAGAATGCAATACTAACAACTGTTATTGTTACTAATTCTATTTATCGCTGTTGCAATTCATTTATGTGATACTATGCCATTTTAGTGACAGTGAGTATATGTAATATTATTAATGTACTTACAACTATCAGTAGTTGATCAGAAGCAGTAATTCCACTTATAGGGTCAACTGTCTCCTACAAAATAATAATAAATAATGCACACATGTAATTAAAATAAAGCTAAAGTGCTCATAACTCCAGAATTTGAGCTCGGAATAAGCTCAAACTTGCTACACAGCATAAGGACATTAATATGTATCAGAAAATGTAATAAAAAATTCGGGGTGATTCTGGAGTTGATTTTCGGGAAAAAACCACGAGCTATCCCATGCTTTTTTCAGAAAATGCTTAAGCTTTCAAACTTCATCATAAAACTTGTGATAGATCAATTCAATGTACACATAACATAACTTAAAGATGTAATGTACATGTACATGTATATTATGTACATACCTTACGGACGCATTCAAAGTCAACCCCGGTCTCATCAGTGACCCTCTCATCAATATGAAACAGCTTGTCCTTTGTCTCCAATGCTTTGCTGACAGCAGTGTTGAGCTCAGGGGCAGCAAGCCTTGAGGCAGTCCGGTAGTACCAAACAAACAATACATTGCCAGTAGCAGCAACAATATGAGTCTTTGATAGACTAACAAATGTGGGCTCTGTGTGTAAATAAAGGTTTTAGATGTCTAATTCGTATTTTACACACATTTTATGAGTATGTACATGTACATGTACATGTATGCACTAACTGACCAAATGGCAGATATTTAGTGTCTACTGGTATCCCAAGAGAATTGCATAGTAACAGTGAGTACTGGAAGAAAGAGGGAGGGAGAGAGAGAGAGAGAGAGAGAGAGAGAGAGAGAGAGAGAGAGAGAGAGAGAGAGAGGGAGAGAGGGAGAGAGAGAATGATACATGAGAATAGATGTGTTTAAAATGATGTAAAAATGTGTTCAAAATGTATACATACATGTACACTGTACATGTACAGTAGCATATGATAAAAGACAGATATGTACAGTACCTGATTCTCTAAAGTAACTGATTCTGTTACCAGTAGTCCGTAGTCAGTGGTGGATGTCATTAAGATGAGGCGCTGGCAGGTCTTCACGTTAAGCTCTTGCTCTTCAACGTTCCAAAACATGACACACTCCTGGAGCGTCCCGGGCTTCTTGTACGAGTACACAACAGTATTAGCAAAGAACGCCCACTGCAAGTACGTGTGTATGTGAAACACATATCAATAAATACATATAGAATATATATCTATATGTAATCCAGTGTGGTAAGTGAGTAAGAGTAATCTAATACCTGAGTACCTTAATTAATATCTGCAGCCCCACAAGGTCACATCAAGCAGATATCTCAGTATTACATTACCTATACACAGTAATGTAATACCTGAGTACCTTGATGCCTGTAGCCCCACAGGTTCACATCAAGCAGATATCTCAGTGTTACAATTACATTACCTGTACACACCTTGGAGGCACACTGGACTACATGTACATGTACATGTACAGTATATAGCATACTGTACATAGCAAAGGTATTACATTATACACAATAGAAGACATAGAGTCAGTAAACGGATACTGACCACATGTACAGTATAAGATATCAGAGGGAAGGATGCATGCATATATACTCATGTACATTAATTATAGTACAAGGAAAGTGAGTACAGTTTGTAGTAATTGGGATCCATAGGAACACACAAGAGCCCAGGCCGTGTTATTAATTACACACACACACACACACACACACACACAGTCTCCCTCCTACACACACACAAACACACACATACAACATATAACATGCTATCATTAAACAACACTCATTAACAGATAGTAACACTACAGTACTAATAGTAACAATAACTATAAGATAATGTTATATGTACATACATGTTAAGTACGTGTAGTAACATTGTATATGGACATTAACTATGGTAGCAGTACTACTATCTGATGTACCTTGTAATTATAGCGAATGTTAGCAAAGTATATGTAAGGTCCAACACCACATGCTATTCTTAATCCAGTGCCTTCCCATGCTACTGCTGTGAGCCCACGACCAGGTATACGCAATGAATAGAGTAACTAAAAATTAACAATAATAATAATAATAATAATAATAATAATAATAGTAATAATACCAATAATAGTAAGAGTAAATTATTTATTTACTCCTGATAATAGAAACTAAAATATAAGAGTAATTATAGTACTAATAGGAACAGTAACAATTATTATCTAAAAATAAACTCTTTATAAAAGGAATCAGACTTCATGGGAGACCAGAAGTCTCCTCTAGGTCTAACAGTGTACAAGTACCACACACAAGCAGCTGATGATAATTTGTACTTTATCCTTAAACATTCAACATAGCATGAACTCTTACTAAAGGAAGGGACACAAGGCTCATTCATACTTCCTGCCATATAATAACTGACACAATAAGCAATAATAATAATATTATAATAACAACAACAATGATAATAATAATAGTACATTATGGACTAGAGAGTTGCTCTGTTACACATTATGTAACTTTATATCAAAAGGTTATTTCATACAGTAAGAAATACACGAAACTGCAGATGGTACATGTACATCACTAAACAAATGTGTCCACTACAAAGAGAGCGTGTGAAGAGTATACATGTACATCTTGTACATGTACACATACCTTTCCCATAGGACTGTAAAACTGAGCTATACTGATCTCCTTATCATCGGTCCTCATCTGAGAACCAGCAACTGCCAATATAGACCCATTGTAATTCCAAGAGATGGTCTTCACGCTTACAGGGGCATTGATAATCACCGGCTCTGTGGGGAAGAAACAGTTACCCCGGCAACTGTAACCCCGACAACCATTGGACTCACTTTCGTCGAGCTCGTGTCTCATGACTTGTATTCGGCCGTTATCAAAGGCAACGGCAAGACAAGGGACGTTGGAAGAGATGTAGCCATTGGAGCCACTGTACCATTGGATACTAACCAGCTTGACTGAGCCTGTGTAGTTAGCTAAACAATGTAGAGTCATTTTACTCTAAAAGAGAGAGAGAGAGGGGGAGAGAGTGGAGGAAGAGAGAAGGAAGGATGAGAGAGAAAAGGGAACAAAAAATGAAGGGATGTAGAACCAAATATAAAAACAAGGAAACAGATTAAATGCAGGAAATATCAGACACTCTACTATCATACCATGTACACACACACTCTTATACACTGTAGAGTATAACATGGAGTATAGCATGAGTATGCAGGAAATATCAGACCCCATGTATACTCTTATACACTGTAGAGTATTAAATCATTCCAATGATCTATTAGTGAGATCAGAGTTCACACACTTAATGTGTTCATTCAACTGTATCAGCTAGCACACACACACAGAGGCATTTGTCAGTACAAATTCAAAGTATTTGTATCATTAATATTGGTATTCTTATGATGCATGCTACTATTGAGTTAAGGAGTAATCATTAGTAATCATATCCTTTTATAAAGTAAGGTGGCAGCAGACGAGAGGCAGAGAAGCCTCGAATTCATTAAATTGAGAGGATAATTAGCAATTGACTAGTATAAAAATAAAATTTAAGAGTCCACTAACGAGTGCAAAGTAGTAACAACAACAACAACAACAACAACAACAACAACAATGAATGGATTATTTGTGTATATATTTTTTCATTTGTACATTGACTTACATTGTATGCCCCATGACTATCATAAATGAGAATCTCTCCCTGGCTGTTACCAAATAATAGGATTTTACTGTCTGGTGACCACTGGGTAAGTGTTAAGGTAGCTCCTCTTAGCTCTTTGCCCCAGATCCTGTTACCATCAACAGATCCCACTATCACTGCACCTACAAAGGATACACATTACTATACAGTGTATGTAACCTCTGTATTAAGGACACCTTTACAATAAGGACACCTTTACAATAAGGACACCTTTACAATAAGGACACCTTTATAATAAGGACATGTTTACAACAATTCTATATTAAGGACAAGGCAGTGTCATGGTGGCCTTAATAAAGAGGTTACACTAGTACACTCTAATAATTAATAATGATATTATGATTATTCTATGCTGAAAATAATACAGGCGACTAATTTCTGTGTAACTCAAGTGTCTTACCAGACCACCGTGAAATTATTACTTTGTATCAGTTACCGGACTGTATGGAGTGTTTATATTGTACATGATCAGAGGACAAATCATAATGCAGTTTAAATCAATTAACAGGATGAAAACATTCAAAACACGTAATAACAAACAAAATGAGTTTGAAAGAACTCATAAACACGTACTTACATGCATAGCCATTGACAAAACAAAGAGAAAGAGTATAGCTTGTTATTTCCTTCTAGTTACATACAATTCATAAAAATGAATTGCAATATACATGTAACTTCAATACAGTACATACAACTAGCATATTATTATTATAGTATTATATAAACACATACATGTACATGTACATTTTATAATTTCAAATTACCGTCTTCATAAACAATACATATCTTTTGTCCATCTTCGTTCCATTGTATCATTGAGACTGGGCTCTTATTCCTGTTATTAATCATTTCCTGAGCCCACGAGTTCCTAATGATAGTCACATGACTATGACATCATCATCATGTGACAGGCACTCACTTGTACAGTACCCATACCACAATGAGCCCGTTCTGGTCACAGGTAGTAAGTTTATTTTCTTTATCGTTCCAAGTTACACCCACCACTGGAGCTAAGCGAAAGAGGGGACATTAATCATACATGTAATTATTTAATTAAAGTAAGCCACACCCCTCCAGTATTTTATAGTACAAAGTACATGTACACATGTAATAAAGAGGTCCCTTGATGTAATTATAATATCGATTTCGTTTTTTTCATCATTATTTTTACATTTATTTAATTATTACCATGATGTGCTTCTAAGGTCTGATTCATTGCCAATGTGCTAGGAGCAGCCAATCCTTTAACTTTAGCATCTTTATCTATTGATAAGTAGGAGATAGAGAGGGCAAAGGGACCAGCATACCTTGTGCTTGTAGCTCAAGTTTCAGTACTCTAAGCAGGCCAGTGTTACCTCCTACTGCCAGCCATCCCTCCTTTGAATGCCAGGCCAGGCTGCTTACAAAGGTGTCATTGGGAATGCTGATCTGTAATAAGGAAAAGAGAGAGTGAGAGAGAGGGGAAGAGTAAGAAACTCGCCTTCTTGCTCAAGTAGGCGAGCATGGTCACCATTGCAATAATTAACCCTTTAGCTACTTCTAGGCCCGTTGCTATGGTTACCTCGCTACAAAATGGCGGATTCGGCGAAGAGAATAAAAGTGATTAGTCTAGGTCCCGCTGGAGCTGGAAAGGTAAGGAAAGAAAGAAGAGAAACAATTCTTGGAAATAATTTTTAATTCTTAGAGTTGCTTGATCAAAAGATATTGCGAAAAGAGATTCGTTTCAAAGTACATGGCAACACTTGGGATAGATTTTGGAGTAACATCGTATGTCAAAATGTAATCATCACAAGCACCCTGTGTACATCTCTCTCTCTTCCTCCTCTAGTGTGTCTGTTGACAATAAGACTATAAAAATAAACATTTTTGATATGGGAGGCCAGCCATTCTTTTACGAAGTAATAATAAATATAAACTGAAGAATGATAACAAAATAATAGAAATATGCCCCCCAAAACTGCATGCACACATGTAAACATTATTGATCATTTTAAAAGGTCCGTAATGAGTTTTACAATGAGACTGATGGGGTCTTGCTAGTGTATGACATTGGAGATAGAGCGAGTTTTGAATCTCTAGATGTCTGGGTATCAGAGCTGACACAACACTCATCAAGTGATCTCAAAGATATGGTAGTAATAGTCTGTGGTAATAAGGTAATGCATTATCTCCTCTTTCCATAATGCTTCATTCCTTTCATGTCTTTATAAATCATTTCTTATAGTCTGATTCCCAGCGTGCTGTGGATCCCAACGAAGGACGTCTTTATGCAGAAACCAGAGGGTTTCTCTTTTACGAAGCTTCGGCAAAGTCGGGAGAAAATGTCATCGAAATGTTTGAAGTAATGGCAAAGTATATTGTGTACTTCGTTGATTTGTTAGAGTAGGACTTGTTTAGTAGGATAGGACGAGGAGAGAGGATTCTGACTC